TTTAAACAAAAAAGCGTTCAGTAATCTTATCTGCATTACTTTATATTAAATTCTTTCCTCGGTGAGGTTTTATTGAGTCGAAGATAGATAATTCTATACTCCCGTACGTAGTATGTGTAACAGGGTACGGTTAGGCCATAATTTTATTCCGATTTTCCGATTACGAGTTCGGGACTGTTTGTGTTAGCCAAGTGAATATACCCCCTGCCCATAGGTTTCAGTCCCTTTACACAACTTGATGTAAAGTAGGCGAACAAAATTAGTTACCTCCATATTGGTACATATACTTCTGAAGCGGCGATAATTCTAAGAAGCCGTATGTGTGGTCGAGTAAATTTATTAGTTCAAAAAAACAACAAATCAACCCACGTAATAACAAATATTTGAAACCAAATACCGCGGTTCGGGACTCAAAAGAAAAATACTACCGATCGTTTGTTTGAGTTACACGTAAGAATTATGACTTCGAAGTGTAAATTTTGAAAAAAATTAATCCGGGTTCACGTTGACAAAAATTTTGACTCCGTAGTCCTGGTTGTTGTGGGTAACAAAGTTTTGACTACTAAAATTTGATGATCGCATGTTTTTTAACGTGGAAATTTTGATAAAGACTCAGTTGCGTTGAGAATCTGACTCCAAAATTTTCAAAAACGCCAACTCCCGTTTAAACCCGCAATTTTTAATCCCATTGCGCAGTGGATTAGCATGATACGTTTGGAAACTGTAATTCAAATATTAAGCAACTTCATGTCCGTCTAGAACAGGGATAGGCAAGGTTTTGGAACCAAGGGCCAAAAATTTTGCCGACCTAGACTGGTGGGTCATGTAAGTGTTACGTAAAAAGTGACATTTTATGAACAATATTTACAGTGTTATAAAGCAAAGGTGGAAAGCAGTGAGCCACAACTAAATTTAATGGCAATCCCAACAAATTCCTTCAGCTATTTTTAGCTCAAACATCAAAATTTGGTTTTAGTTTGGTTGCATCAGACGGGCCAGATTGAAATACCTAACGGGCCGGATTTGGCCCGCGGACCGCAGTTTGCCCACGTCAGGTCTAGTTCAGAATGCAAGTGTGGAACCGCCTCATAAAATGTACAGCTCATATCCCGTACCACCCAAACATTTTCAAAACACACCCTCAGGCTGTCAAAAAGCATAAATTATGATGTTATCGGGATACTGACTGGGAGGAAACATCAATCTCAAAATATGAGAATGAATCTACGGTTTTACGGGATTTTGAAAGTAACAACTGTGTGGTACGCCACTTTTATGAGATTTTGATTCCAGTTCCAAAAACATCTTTCAAGATTTCAAATCTTGGATTTTTACCCCGACTTTTAGAAGACTAAACGAAAAAATTCACACAAGTAGTGACGTCATAAAATATGACACAATTTGACTGAAACAGATATAAAATGGGAAGGCTTTAATAAACTTGGCAATTGTTATATTTCATTTCCGCTTTTTGTGTCAAAAAACAGATGGCGTAAATTTGAAAATAAACCAAAATCTTGTTTCACAAGACAATTGCGCAAAATCCCAGCCTAATCCTCTCATAGATATACGTGGGCAAAACACGACAATAGAGAAAAATTTCCCAGAAAAGAAAATGTTTATCTAATGAGTCACGCCGGCATCACGTGATATCTTCGTGCGCTTAACTTAATTATGACGTGATAGGACAACTGAAACTTATTATGCAAATCAGTTTCTCTGTGTTGAGATTGAAAATATTTTTTTCGTATTGGTAACTTCGGACTAATTAGTTTTGTTTGAAACTAATTAATTTGTTGAGTCTACCAACTTTCCTATCCCCCAATATCAATTGTAAAATGTTGGCAAGACATTTGTACTGATTTCTTGATATTGTTTCAACTCTCGATAATACAAAGAAGCAACAATATTTGTTTTGTATATGAAAAAAAATACATATTAGCCCTATTCCTACATGTCTAAAAAGTCCATGTATTTGGACGATCATTCTAGCTTTTTTTCGTGACGAGAGACAGTGGCTTATCAGCTTTCCTTTTCCCCCAAGACAAAATATCAATTACAAACTCCAATTTAAGTTTTTTGAAGATGTTTGTTTTTTTAGTCCGCAAAGTTGAATTACGTTATAAAGGGTGTCCCAAAATAAATGAAACACACAAAATTGGTAATCGAATTAATAGGTTTCATTTAATTTGGAACACCTTATATATAGTTTCTTGGATCTCTCAACATTGACAAGCCCAAACGTGCTTTTGATCGTCGAATAAATCGTGAATTGACGTAAACTCAAATCCATGTAAATGAACTCAAAAATGTTGTACTTTGTTCGCATTAGCCTAAAATAAATCATGCGCCAATCAGTGATAACAATCAAATTCCGTAGCAATTTGTTTATTTGTCTTGACAAACTTCATATACAAAATATACACTAAAAGGCATCCCATAGTGGTTGCAACACGTTGATAATGCAACACGTCAAATTTCATGCTGATTTGTTGATAGAGGGAGCTAGTGAATCACAACCATAATGGCGTCCATTTTGAGTATCTCAAAATTGTCATCTTCCACAATTGGGAAAAGTAGAACAAGTGGGACATTTTCAGCGAGGGAGCGATTGGCGTCCGTTTTGGGGTATCTAATAAATGTTCTATCCCATTATTGAGACGAATGAAAAACAAGTAGAACAAATGTTAAATAAATATAAGACAATTTTCAGCGAGGAAGCGATTTGCGTCCGTTTTGGGGTATCTAATAATGTTGTATCTCCTTGGATAGAAAAATATAAATATGGGACATGACATTTTTGAGACACTTGTCCATTTTGTACAAATTCATCAAACTTTTCTGTGCCATGACTTCTAACGTTTTATTAAGGTGACCGTACATTTGAACCCATGTACATTTGAACCCATGCGTATATCCACGGGTTCAATCTATATGCGGGTGCTAAAACCCATGGGTTAGGGTTAGTATGGGTTTAACTATCCGTGAAACAAAAAAAATTCCATAGGTGCAATAGCATACAGGTGCAATTGTTATGGGTTCAAATGTACGTGGGTTCAAATGCAATGGAACCTTTTATTAAGATTAGTCGTGTATAAATACACTATACTCCTGATACAACGTATTGGATATAATTATAAGTGATGTAATATTTAACCATCAATCTTTTTCCGCTTCCGACTTTCAACCTAATGGAAAAGAGACACCATTTTAAAAGGGCTAGTAAGGGATATTTTTTAGACATCGTTCCAATTTGTACGAATTCACTATTAATCGCATACAACAGATTGACGTCTAATTAACAGAGGTTTTTGAGCCATGAGGGCTATCCTTGCCTAATGGGGTCCATCTTGAAGGAGCCAGTAATCAACGGGGTTCATTTTTTATAAATTCACAATTATTTGGCTGGAAGGTTATACTTAACAACGATACGAGGTTTAACCACCAATTTTTTTCTAATCGTGACTTGTATGTAATCTTACGTAATAGAGTCTATTTTGACGGAGCTAGTGAGCCACGATTCATTGCGTACAACTTGTACCCATTGACTATTTGTTACTTACAGCAGTAAGAGCCTGAAAATAGTCTTGGGATCGCTTGTTTTGTCAACGAAAAACTTGGAAGTTATTGATTTTATTTCCCAGTAAATATTATTGTTTATTTTTCATTCGGTACTGGAGTGTTGCGCAATAGTAATTGTAAGTTATGTGTGTTCTCACAATTTCTCGTAGAATAAAATAGTACACATGAAAAAATTATCATTTTGTGTATGGTAATTTAATTTGATTCTAAAAACCATTAGATGTTGTTCAGTATTTGAGAATATTCTTTGGTCGCGTGTTATTACAAAATGTATTGTTTGAAAATTGGGTCGCTTGAAAAATAGTTGGGAACCACTGTTGTATTCTAACGTAACATGGTCTATCTCGACCAACTACTGGGCAAGGATCTTAATGGGTTGTGCATAAGTTCACAATTTAATCCCGTACAACAGTTTATAATATAATTAACAGTAATTTGTAACTTCATTCGCCAAATTTTTTCTTACCGTGACTAATGTTGTTTTAACATCACAAACCTGTTTGTAGGCGACAACTCTGCCTCCGGGACATTTTCGGCGTTCTTGAGAACATGCCATTTTGCGCGAACAATGTTCAATCAAGCAAACTTATCGCCCCGATATTTAACAAATATCAGGTATCATGTATCGTCAATGCGCTGCTTCAAGTTAAATTGGGGGACGGATGTGGTATGTTATAGAGTTGAATGCTAATTCGATTTAGAATAAGATGAACTAAACTCAAACAAACGATGGTTCATTATTGCATTAGTGAACGGATCTTATTCTTTCGTATACTGCAAAGGATAATATCTAGGTCGGAGAAACTTCTGTCCGACCTGGACCCAATTTAAAAATGCAACTCCAGGGCGACTAAAATATTGGCTACCGAATCGGAAAACAAAAATTTGACACCGTAATATTGGCGTTCGTGCACATTCTATTTTTATTTTCGACTTCTCGGCGTTTTCGGCCGAGAGAGCTGCCAAAAATAGTATATTATCACGTTTCACTCACTGGCTTCCTATATCCTTGGTTTATGAAGCATATTTTGTATTTCATCGAATTTCATATCACAGACCAGCGAAGAGCGCCAAATTTTTATTCCATTCATCTATTTTAATATCAAAATATTCTGCAGAAATATTCACCCACACTCCACTCCAAACAAAGCTCTAGGAAGGCAACCATTAAATAGTGAAAAGATACTATTTTTGGAAAAGACCGAAATTCACCATTAATTAGTGGAAAGATATTATTTTTCGGAAAGACTGAAGTTCATCCGTTCCGTCATTGCTCATATCTAGATTATTAAACACTGGACGAAGTTTGATACTAAAACCTTCAAACTGCGGCGTTAACATAGTTAAGTCCAACGTTTTAACAACTTAGACTAAACCATCAACCATTATTTTCTTACATCCTTCTTCTTATATTTCAGACGCAGTCTACGTATGAGCTACGATGATTAACAATGACTTCCGATATTCCACCAATCACATTCAGAGACTGATTCCCCTACTTTTTATATTATTTGTCACTCGGGTTACCGAAGGCGCCCTCTACTCCCATGGTTTCGGATTTGCAGACAACAAAATTAATTGGCCGAAGTGGGATCTTGGATCGGAGCAAATAGAACTTGACACCTCAATTCCTCTACTCGGTGATGGGAAACTATCATCTGTCTGGGTAAGTGTATTTATTTAAATTGTTCTTTGATCGTGTAAATTCGAACTATTTCAAGGGCGCTCCAGAGGTGTGTGTACTAATACGGAGGTAACTAATTTTGTTCGCCTACTTTACATCAAGTTGTGTATTGAAACGGAACCCTATGGACAGGGGGTATATTTACTTGGCTAAAACGGATAGTTCCCGAACTCGTAATAGAACTAGTATAAGGAAAATCGGAATAAAATTATGGTCTAACCCTAACTTGGTGCACACATTACGTGAGTACCCAATTTTCTATGTAGCTTTGAGCGTGCCAAAGGTTGAGTGTTTTACCAGTATTTTTATGTTTTCGAAACGAAGGCTCGAGACTTTTTTAACCGCCAGATATTATGCGCTTATACTCTTGTGTGAGTATTATTCTTGACCGAATCCCGAGCTTCCTGTTCTTGACTCTTCATCAAAAACTCAGGGGGAATCCCAAAAATAATAATAAACAAGATCCAAAACCATCGAATTTGTAAACAACATGAAAGTTGAGTTATTTGGCGCACGCCAATGCTTTCTTGATTAAAATGAGCAAAGACATCGGTACAACATTCAAATCATACCTTACGAATCCTAATAACAGAAGTAAATTGTCAATAAAAGTTTGAGTTGGTCAGACCAAACGCTACAGAATAAAATTTGCAAAAATGTGATGCGAGATTTTTGAACTTTTCGGGCGAAGCATTATCATGTCGTATTAAATCTGACGTGGTCAAAATGAGAAAAACAATTTGTAATGTTAGAAAATTAGTTTACCTGTTACGAGCCACGGTTGCCACAACTTTACAAAAAACACATCTATAATCATACCTTCCAAACCGCAATTACACACGTTCACTTGACGCAATTCTAAGATGACGATTCTGCGTTGCCACATTTAGTACAGCCAGATTAAAAGCAAATTCTATTCGTCCTGTACGAGGTTGCCACAACTTCACAAAACACACATCTATAAATCCTACTTTCCAAACCGCAATTACATACGTTTACGTTGACACAATTCCAAGACGATGCGTAATGATGACGATAATAATCTGATTCAGGGATTAAAATGTCAAGTTTAAATCTTAAGCATGATATTTGCGCGTGGGACGTATCTAGAACATTCCAGAAATGTATCAACTGTTGTTGGTTGCGACTGATAATGATAAACGAAATCGTATTTCATATCAAATCATTTAATTAAAATGTCAAGTTGATATCTTACGCATGATATTTGCGCGTAGGACGAATTTAGTATCAAGAACATTCCAGAAAAGTATTTAACTATACTGTTGTTTGCGACTGATAAAAATAGACGAAATCGTATTTCAAAGCAAATCAAGCAAAATTTTTTCATCGAGTTCACTCGCAGAAGTGATTCACAACTTGAAGAGTCAACTCTCAGCAATAACATTTCACCAATATTATTATCTTATTCTCTGACACTTTTATGGAACGTAAAATCGTACGAGGCATGCAAATTTTCTCATAAAAAACTACGCCTCAGAAATTGTACAGATGCACAATCTCAAACATATCATGTCATCCGTAACAACGATGAAAACTGATTGGATATACAGAGTGTCCATAAAGTTCCTTTTTAATTTCAATTTCTTTAGGAAGTGAGTTCTCAATATATCTTAACCAGTTTTTATTTAATCCGTAATTGTTCAAGTGTTCTTTCATGATTTAATACATCTATGAGGGCCAACACAATATATAGAATCTACAAATTGCCATTTCAATTTTAAGAATTTGTGGACACCTTATATTGTATGACGCACGAATATCATCTGTAAAAAAAGCAAATCTCAAATATTTACGAAAGCCAAATGACTACTAATACGGCTACTGTGATGTCAGCAAAAATATAAGCCAAATGTTAAAAGGATTGTACCAAATATCCTATGAAGGTGTTAGCTATGAAAAACGGCAAAATCCTGAATGAAAAACTCACTTCTTACTCAACTTATTGGAAGAAAGAGGCCATTTTGAGAGACATCCCAAGCGACATTTTTAGGACATCGTTCCAATTTAAAAAAAAATCCCACCCCACTATTAATCTCATACGGCAGATTAGCTGCTTCTCATTAACAGTAATTTGACGCAGTATACAGTAGCCAAAAAGCTAAATGTCAGTTTGTTAAAATTATCTTGGTATGTTCCAATTCTCTCACGTAATTATGATTGAAGTGACAAACACATATAAATAAAGATTTCTAATGCCGTGATGACCTTTAGGCTTGACATTTGCAAATATTTAAATTTTGAAATAACAACCTATTATGTTGGCCACCTACACAAACTTTTTTTTAAGTAAATTTTATTTTCGAAACAAGATCCCGAGTACTCGCTTAAAAATGAAACTATGTTTTGAAATATTTTACGAGTTAGAATCTCTTGAAGTTGGCATTTCAAAATCGTTTACCACTAAAATGCGTAGAAGTTACAGAGTTTGAAATGTAATAAAGTTGTGACTCTATTTCGCACAATGCAAATATTTCGCTACCAACGAAACCAGGATAAAATTAAACAATTGTCGCTATGAGACATGTTCAGTCAGTTTTCGACGAAATTTTTATCTTCAAGTTGAGTTCATCATTGTTTTAAACGCACAAAACGAGAAAGCTTTTTAACCAAACCAACAATTGTTGAACTGAAATTGACCCAAGAGTACTTTCAGTGTTTGAAATTAGCATGTACATTCAGAAAACTATTTACGTTAAACTTTATAACAATTAGATACTAAACGTGATAAAGGTCTGTAAACGTGCAATATATATGCTTAGTGCCCGTGAACTCAAATTCTGACGCAATCTAGGATCAGATTGTAACTCCCTGTACGCTTTTTACTCCAGAATGTAACAGCATTTGCATGATAAATGAACATTATATGACGGTCACTAGAGCAGTGGTTCTCAGGCTTTCATGATACATGACCCCTTCCAAAGTCCTCCAACACTTTGTCACCCCTGCCATTTCATGAAAAAAAATCTAGTTATTAGGCATTTGTTTATAAGTACTATGTTTATATCAGTATTATGGCCCTGTGCAAGACATTTCCGGCCCAGGACAAACTTGTGTGAGATCAGTGGGGTTATGTGAACTTCTCAATGGCTGTACTCGGTGTTTGTGGTAACGTTTTGAAATAACTTTTTGATGTTTTGTGAGTATATCAGATTGAACGCCAAATACCCAGTAGAACAAGACGTTTTACCATCGTATTCGATTGGTGGGACGTGTTTTGCAATCGCACCATGCCTCATTCCCGCGCTTTCACGTGTTGCGTAGTATTTTAACGTCATTTTTCACGTTATTACCTCAATAAGCAAAAATTGCAAGCAAATCGATACTGAATAAATGCAAAGTCACTTCTAATGAGAAAATTAAAACAAGTTAATCCTGTTTTAGCTCTAAGCACGATCGAAAGCCACAATTTATGGAATCTTAATGATATTGCCACACATATAGGCTTGAGGGCACGCCATAGTTTTTAATGTTCACCACTGTTTACTTCAGCAATGCAAACCGCGTGAAATAAAATCTTTTATCGTTTCAAATACAAAATCAATTAAATTGAATACGAATCCACGTTGATACGGTCACAAAATAATTAATCAAGAGAAGAGCAAAAGTTCAACTCGTTTTTTTTTCTAACAACTCAAGTGATGTAACGGCCGTTAAATTTTTCTCGGATCACAATATACAATACAATATATCTTATTCAAAATGAGGAATTTACATTTTAGCTTTAAAAGGATTCCAAGAATGTTTCGCTTCAAGAGATATTTTCTGCAACCCACTCAACTAAACAACAATAATTAAAAACGCGTTCGTTTCTCAACGAAAGGAAAAATCTAGTCACACTTAGTAGAATTAAATACGAATCCACGTTAATACGGTCACAACATAATTAAAGAATAGAATAAAAAACGTTCCACTAGTTTTTTTACAGCGCAAATGATGTGACGGCTGTTGAAGTTCTCTAGAGTCCAGAAGCACAATATACACCACAATATATTTTATACACAATAGAAAATTTGTGTTTTGATTCAAAATTGTTTGGTTCTCCAGAAGTATGCGCACCAAGATGTCGCACAGTCTGAATCCTAACCGGTACACACTTATTATGTTCAGGTTGTGCGCCAGCTTGGTGCGCATACTTCTGGAGATCCAATTGTTTTGCTCCAAAAGATATTTTCTGCAACTCGCCATAATTTAATTGAACAAAATGAAACAGAAAACGCGATTATTTTTAAACTACAGAAAAGTTTTAATAAAACTCAATAAAATATTTCTACAGGATATATTAACCCAAAATATAATTCCAAACGTGTCCATTCAAAGCTCACCGAGTAAAATTGCAATAAGTAAAAATTCAATGAAACGAAGACATTTTTCATCATCTCATTATAAATAATCGGATCGATTTTGAATCAATTCTGATTTGTTTCGAAGTTCGCTCTGGGTAAGGGTTTGGGCCATAGTCACTTTGGCTTTACACACAGGAAGCTAATCTGTTTTTGAAATAAAATAAATCACTCTCCCTATTTTCAATGGATGTTTTTCCGACCCTGGACCCCAGAGAAATTCTCCCTATACTTTACTATAGCATCCTATACTTTGGATGCTTATTTGGCGTATCTGAGTGGATGAAATAATTAGAATTGTTACGTCATCGAGGACTTTAGTTGATTGGCCATTGTTACGGAAATAATGGGAATCAATGCTCGTGGAAACATCCATAAGGTAGTAAAACACGTTGAAGTCGTTTTGTTCCAACCATATACCTGATGTCCGACAAAAAGACAGCAGTTGCAAGAATAGTTCACAAGTACAACGTACAAAAACTGGAGGGTGTAAGCATTGGTCGTAATAATCTTTACTGATTATATTTCGCATATACAATAAATTTTGTCGTGGTCTTGAGACATATTTCGCAAGAGTCATATTTGTTGACAAAACCGTCTAAATTAGCTTCGAAACGGCTGAGGTTTCACAATTCACGTCGCCTCTAACACGATGCGATCACGCGGACGTCATGGTATTTCAGAAACTGACTTCGTAACTTTGAATAATTATTATATAATACTGAGTTTCGTTGATTACAAAACTGATAAAAATAACAGCGCAATGCATATAGTTCGGTGAAATATGTAGGTGTTCGGACCACGTGAACTGGTTTGCTAAAAAGTATCCAGATGTTCTCCCAGCCATAACGAAATACTCTTATGAATGAAAAAACGATGCTCAGATATATCATCACAAATGCCAAAACGAAGTAGTGTGGATAAGCAATCTGTCACAGTAGACTACCGCAGTGATCACGACTTTGCCTGACCGGAACCGCTACAAGGTGCGCAATTTTGATGGCGTCATCGCACACAAAAAGCGAATGCCTCTAACACGATATGATCACGCTGAGTTCGCAGCTTTGATTATATAATATTGAGTTGGTTAAAAAATGATAAAAATAAAGTTCATATCTGCCGGCGCAATATGTGTGGTCAAAGCACACCAATTGGCTCCGTTGTCTAAAGGGTACTCCCGAAGTATGTGAACCAGGATGGCGGACACCGTAACGTAATAGATGTTGGGGTTATGCTATAATTTCAGGTACAAATACTACGGGAGTCACTTGGCTAGTCCCTAAACTCGTAATAGAACTAAAATAAGGAAAATTTGGATGAAATTATGGCCTAACCTGGTACACATACTACGTTCCGCTGTCCGCCATCTTGGTTCACATACTTCGGGTGTACCGTCTAACAACCTCCTCATTCTCTATACAAACACCAATTATACTTATGAACGACTTACGATATCAAAACTTATCTTTGGACTTTGACAGACTTGTTGAACTAGTTTTAAATGAGCTACTCACATACATCCCAAAGTCTAGAACACACCAAATTCAAAAATAGCAGTGCGGCAGTTTTGGTAGTTTCATGAACAAAACATAATATGATCAACAAGCCTATGTAAATTATGAACTTCAATATTTATTTACTATTTAAAGCTTGCTAGATAGGAATAGTTTAAGCTCTATCTATGGCTGTTAATATGGCCTAATTTCCATTCTCTAAACGCAGATCAAAAGTTTCTTAAGATCCCCACGTGTACATATAAAGAATGTAAACAATAAATAAAGGTAAATACCAAAATAAGGCAGGCAAGATCCAAATGAACACCTTCTCATTTAAATTAGCTTTCACGCCCCCTCAAAAAATTGTCTACGGAACAACCACGCTTTTGTGGTGCGCGTCCCACCGTTAGAGAACCACTGCCTAACCCCTAACGAATTCCAATAGTAATATTTAATAATTCACTCTTCTCGTAATAACCTCGATCCCATATTGGATTAAATTGTGGAAATGCATTCATTCAAGGGCGTTACAGAATACCAAAATTGTCCGATTTAAGAGAAAGTATCCGCCACGGTGGCATCGCTCGTTCAATCACTAAAAAATTCGAATTGTATTTCCTTTAGCGATGTATAGTTTCGGTGTTCAGTAATTAAACAAAGACGTCAGTCTGATTATCCGCAGAGAGATAAAGCCACGTGGTTGTCTTGGTTATGAATGCATATTCATTGTTCAATAAATAAAAGATGAACTGCTAGATAAACCTTTAGTTCGTGGTTTCAGATTTTATCGATGTTTTCCCGTGTCAAAAAGCCTTCAACATGTCGACTAGGCATTCAAATACAAGTTCATAAGAATGACTTACGTGTGTAGACTATACAATGGAGTTATCAAAAATAGTTTCGACGGAACAATTTATCATTACACGAAAATTCGACTGAAAATGTAAATACACGTACGTATGTTGTGTATTTGTGATGGCTGATTTCGATCAAGATATTGGTGCTCAATGTGTGGGAACCACGTATGATAAATAAACAAAAAAAACGCCTAACATGTGACATAAAACGAATGTATTAATAGAATAGACATAATTTGAACTCGCTGATCTGGATTCCTATATTTGTTCTCGTTATGTAAGAAACATTTTGCGATACGTAGATAGATATAAACACATATACAATATTTTGTACTCCCGTAGTGTGTGTACCACGTTAGGGTTAGACCATGATTTTATTGCGATTTTCCTTATTTTGATTCTCTTACGAGTTCGGGGACTGTCTGTGTTAGCCAATTGAAGCCAATAAGTTTCGGTCCCTTCATACAACTTGATGTAAAGTAGGCGAACAAAATTAGTTACCTCCATTTTGATACATATACTTCTCGAGCGCCCAATATTTTAGATACTGTTGACAATGAATTGCGGCAAAAGCGTTGGACTAGTGCGATGGCATCGTAGCTTAAACATCTCAGATTCAAATGTCATTCCCACTACCATACTCAGGGTGTGATAATTTGGGTAGGCAATGAAGAACAGGAAGGATTCCGATCCCTCTAAAAATAGTAGCCTTCTTGCACATCGTTAGATATCCAGATCTCACCTACAATGCAATTATTGTAATACTAATAACTGGCCATTTGATAGGGTTATGGAAGACTAATTTCCTTCTCTATTTCTTCGAACTGGCGGATCGGTATGCGTTTGAGGGCAATGACGCTGTAGCATAATAAAGATGACTATGGATTTAAAACGTCTTGTGACCACTACACTTCTTTTCTCAATGCTGGCCTGATCCGTATGCAAATAAAATAAAACTTCTTGCATATTGTTAGAGATGTACATCTGACACACAATGCTCACTATTGTAACAGCTAGCCATTAATGGGGCTAGGTGAGACCAATTACCCCATAACAATTAGTTCTCCCCATTCCTTCATTAATCTGTTGTTTTCTTCATGATTGCTTATTTTACGTTAATTTTATAATAGTTTCTTTGCTATACTTGCTGTTTAAAATTCAGCATCCAGGTGTCGCTGAATAGATGACTCACTAAGTCTTTGCGACTCCTCGACAATTGTTTTGAGTCAATGTTTTCCATTTATTGTTAGTTTATTTTTATGTGTGTTTGTTGCTTTACATTGATTCTTGCGCGATCGGAGTAAAATATCTGAATCTACACTTTTCTATATCTTCGAGCTTCGAGCACGAAGTAGTACAGGAAGTAGTACAAAACCTAATAATAACTGACTTATGTTTGTCCGAAAAAATATATTATGATCAGTCGAAACGTTACAGGAATCAGCTGTGCTAATGTGCAGCAATTCTCATGAATCACTCATGTCTTAGAGAACTGTAACGACCCTATCGTAAATACTTCTATAGGGGTAATTGACCCCCACTCTGGCGTTCGCACCTCCGTGTTATTAACACACGTTAACAGGGTGAAACTCCGATCTGCATTATTGAAGAGGTCATAAACACACAATGTATCGTAATGCCAAATGTTTGTATATTGTAAAGTTGCAAGATCGAATTCATTCCAAACAGATATATTGAAGTATACACTTAAGCCTTAATACCAGTTGAACGGTTACAATCCAAAACAGTAACCGACACAAAACATGAAAAACCCTATATTCTCAACTCCCGAATGAAAACCGGAAACACATGACAATTTGCTCGATATAAAAAGCTATGCATAAAAAGTAAAGCCTTTGCTACGATAAATCACCAGCAGGGAGATCGCTAAAATGGCTTATATTTCATTGAATTTAACATGTTGATAGTACTAAGGGTTTAAATAACATTTATTTTATTGCACATTTCAATAATTCAATCTTCTAACTTTTTAAAAATTTTCATTTCAGGTCAATTCATTTGGGTCTCTCACATTTCGCCAACTCATCGATCCACGGATTGAAAAACTGTTGGACAATATCGCACTTGCACCGTATTTTATCCGATCTCGAGAGGGCGCCATCGGTGCTGTATATTACCGCCAAACAACTAAAGACTCTATATTATTTCAACAAATCGCAGACGACATTTCATCTTCTATTATTTTACCTTCCTCACAACAAAACGATTTTGTGACGTCAGACTTTATACCCACTTACGCACTTATTGTGACGTGGAGTAATGTTGCCTCCGTTGAAGACCAGACTTTAGTAAGTAAAACTTAAATAAATTTATAAATTACATGGATTAAGTCTTTTTTATCGAAACCACCTAGACAAAGACTGATAAAGAATGTTCATAAGGTCAAAACAAATAAACAAAATTTTAACCGTGAAGAGACATATATATGTATATTAGTTGAATTCACATTGAGTTCATTTTATTTCAAATATCAAAATTTGCATTTTTGACGAAATTAAGCAAAAAACGATAACGGCAGACTGTTCAATTTCTCTTGACCTGCGATATAATCAAGACGATAGCAAGAAAAAAATCCCAAAGCATTTTAAAGTTATCCACTTCGAATTGGAAACTAAATTTGGAATAAAAAAAGAAAAGTTGTTCATAGAAAGATCTCAAGATCTAATTCACCAATTCTGTAGAGGAGAGCACGCACTTTACCGAATGTAATGAAACTTATCAAACCTATCCGCCCGTTTCATCACTTTCCGAGCCTCAAGTATACAGATTTGTAGTTCTGATAACGTACGCTGCGAAAGGTGACCCAAAGGTTTGTTAAATCAGTCCTGAAAACGTTTCAAAACAGAAAAAATTAATTTCCTAGGAGATACCTGCATATTTAATTACCGGGAATGGGATAGATTGAAAAAAAATTATCCATAATTCTATTTTCTGTTCAATATTGCATTGCTTTAACATTCATGCTAACGCGGTTTGATAGATGGCTTTTAATTGCTCACCGTTCTTGCTTTATGTTTGTTTTTTTAGCACAAAAACGTCAGCATAAAACCTTATCTTTACCCAATCAACCAGAAAACCGGCGCCCCTTAATTTTTCAAAGAATTTTGAAATTAATTTAATTAAATCCCCATTTAAAAATGTGGATCAATTCCCATACAGGTAAAAACCATGAAAGTGTAAAGTGTTTAATATATGTAAATAAAAATATGTAATCACCATATGCCAAATATCACTATAGCTGGGCAATTTCGAATACCTGATGATTTCAGAATCGAATCAAATATTTTTTCAAATCGAATCTCGAATACTTGAAAGATATTCATCCTAATTCAACGACGTGATTATATGTAACTTTATTTATTGTAATGGGTTCTCCAAACACATAAAATAATGAAACAATAGAATCCATCACTCAAGTCAGTTCGCGGGGTTGTCACATGCAATGGGAAACTTGTTTCTTCAATAGGGAGAAATAGTCACATTTTAGAATTGCATGTCAAAAACATCGCTTTACTGGAAAAAAATGAGCTATCCTATTCGACCTTTGGCGGATTAAAAAAACAAGATGGCGGCGATTCGAAATTTTCGTCTAAACCGATTCGAATAATTTACTATTCGATTCAAAATGCCCAGCCCGAAATATGACAAGTTCAATATCGCATAATGATTGTAATTAAGCCGGCATACAATAAGGCGTATATGCTTTATTGTAAACACTAGATTCGGCATCATCTCGGATCGTCACAGAAATTTAAAAAAAAAATTGAATACTCAACACGATGCCATAATAAACTGATGATTAGAAAATATTACATTCATCTAAGGATGCAAATTTCAGAAAATGTCTCAAAATTTTGCTATTTATATACGTATCTTTATATACCACATAAAAGAATTGCAAAGCTACTCCCATGGTATAAAAGTCGATAAAATCAATAACATATTAGGTTTCAATTAAGTGGCATATGTTACAATGAATCTTAAAATATGTAATTTTTGTCTGCTTTAGATATCTGCTTATATCACTTAGTAAAATGTAGTAAAGCTTACTAAAACGCCAGAGTTCGCTGCCCACTATCATATTATTTCGAAGTCTGTAGCTTTTGGGAAATGCTTGCCCAAGATGATAAATATAACTGACTTAATTTCTCAATTATTATCGAGATGATTTCTGACTTAAAATTTTTGAACTATAAAACTTAAATGATGAGAGATGTTGAAATTTTTCATAATAGATAGTTTACTCCGATAAATTATATTGTTTATTTTTGGGTGGTAACGGAAGATCGCTATCAAAACTGATACAAAATTGTTCAATATTTTTTCAATCATTTATTTTCTGCGTAACAGCGATAAATATTTCCGGCAAATTTTAATTTGATAATGCCAATTTAGTGACTCATATTAGATGATAAATTCACAACTTTCCGAGTGAAACTGAGCACACTAACAGAAGTATATTTCAGTAACGTTTCGTTTGGCCAAAGTTAGGGATGCATTACTCAACTATGTCTGAGAATGTCTGACCTAATCAAGCGAAATATTACAGAAATATATTTTTGTTAGCGTGCAGTAAGACTCTTGAATCACTTAGGATAGTTATTTCCTCTCTTGCTACAGCATCCTCCAGCACAAAAGCATAAAAGAAGAAAAAGTAATTCGTCCCCCCGCACAATCTCAATTCATAGATCAACCATGTCAGTTTCATAAATGGTTGCTTACCTTTGTAAGAAATCAATTTTGAAGAAATTAGTAGCAAATCTAATTTGTCATAATTTATTAAATTATAATTGTTATCCCATAATTTTTACCCATTTATGTATTTCAATTTTCTTTCGAAAAATAGGGCTTTTTTAGGGAGGATATATTTTATTTTCATTTATCAAAAACTAAATTACAAAGTAGAGAATTACGAGATTCCCAAACATACAAAATAGGAAAACCGATATTCATTTATCTATAAATTACACGTTTCATTTAATGAAACGTCTAAACAAAGATTATTCAAAAATGACCAATCATTTAAAACGTGTATGAGAGATTTTGCGCTATCGACTAGTTCTTATTCTAAGAGGACGGCTCATATTAAAATCACTTTTAAAATTCAAACTAAGTCTTATTTTCGGGGAAACACGGTATGCATATCTTGTACCAAGAACAGTTTTACTATAGCATGAAATATGCATTAAGATAGTGCTGTTTGGTGTGGTTTACCACACTATAACGTCAAGGTAGTGATTTAGGGCGAGATTCACCTCAAGTTAGTACCATAGCGTGAGTGATATCGCTGCATTTTATCTCTAATGGAATCTCCTATTTTTTATATTTAATTTATCAATTTAACCTGGATCTGACCTAAACCAGGGGTATGTAACCTTTATTACAAGAGAGCCAGATAGAAATAGCTCGGTGAAACCGCGGGCCGCACATTTATTTACCATAGGATTTCTAGTAGTTGCACGCACACAAATTTTGGTTATTGATCTTTTGACATGAGTTGTTCGCTTCGCACAAGCTAGCTGTCAGGGCATTGTAACGTCATATACAACGCAAAAAGATTGGAATTTCCAGCACGTACCAGATTAAACTAAATTAAAAACTCGTTTCGATGGCTGCACTCCATTTCAAATTGAAACTTCTCCGCGGGCCACACACATTTTCCTTGTGGGCCGCATTTGGTCTGCGGGCCACAGGTTGCACATTCCTGCCCTAAACCTAAAGCGATAGTCTTCAGACTGCACTTGGGTAGACGAAATATGACCTCCCGCTTAATAGCTAACGCGGCAGACTTCTTTTTATGTCGGATTTTTATCAAATTTTCGATTCAATCGTCCCTATTTTTCACCACTCCAATGTTTTGTGTCAAATATTACATACAAAATAAAGAAAAAATAACGTGGTAGACCTCAGACTGCATGTAGGAGCATATCGCTTTCGAGCATGCTATATAAACACAAAAAATTCGTAATTAAAAATGTTTAAATTTGTTCCACCACATTCAAGGATCTTCCACCTTTTTGACTAAACGCTGGAACAAACAAAAATTTAAAACTACCGTATAAGTCAATCGGGGGCCATGGCCCACCAAGGAAGGCACAGATCGGTTGGAAGGGGGCCGCAATGCTGGGCGCAAAACTGATTTCACTTGAGCCTTCACAAGCAAACTCCTTTTTCTTCCTAGTTTCATTGCCTAACAGGGTTTTTCACAGGTTGTTTTCACTATGTTGAGCATGAATTATTTGAACCTAATGGGATTTGGACTCGAACAATCAAAATAACACTATAAATACAACTGGAGTGATAAACAGGGGTAAGCCTTGAGAGCTAAAAGCCTCCTGAAGGGGCAACGAGCCATAAAAGGTTGGGAACCACTGGTATAAGTTCTATCGATTGTATTTACGTGGCACCAACTACTTAACCTTTTATGCTTCCGTGGTGGATACGTATGTATATAATGCAAGGATGTGGTAGCACAAGGGGACGCAATTACTTTTCTGAGTGAACCTGTTAATAGACTTGGTTACTGGCTCGGAGACTTAAAACTCAATATAAAAAACTATAAATAAAAGACAGTTTATTCACAACAGTTAGGCGAACGTTTATATAATAATAAGATGCGCAATGTAATAATCGAGGTCATTTTGACGTTATTTTCATCGATAACGTAAATTTATATCCATGAAAACTATAGTCGTAATTTCAGCAGGCAAAAGTGGGCCGGGTGATAACACTTCGATGGGCCGGATCCGAGCAGAGGCTGTAATTTGCCCACCCTTGTTGTAGCAAAAGTAAAGACGAGAATATCGGTCAGAGACCGAAGACTTATCGATCGAAAGTTAGGGGATCCCCCAAAACAGCGCTCTTACTCCATAGTGACACTTTGTGTTCCATCACTAATTAATTAATAACTCGCTAATTATACTACATAATTCATTCAAAATCAATAGGCTTCTGGTACGACATATGATGAATGCACATGCAAAATCTGGAGCAGATTCAATCTCGCTTTCGTGAGATATCGCGTGCATCTAACAGACAAACAAACAGACAGACAGACAAATACCTATCAACATACTTACCGATTAAAATCGATAAGTAATGACTAAGCGATTCAAAAGCCTTGCTGCGCACTAATACAAATATCTTTCCAATAATACAAATACACCAACACAAATGCACTTCGTTTAACCTTCGTTTGCAGTGGTGCGCCATTTTAATTTCACTTATACAGAAAGATTCTACAATTACTTTAAAACAAGTCTTGTTTGTTTCATAACGTCAAGTTAATCGTCGACATTCCGATAAAATCTTGTCTGCGGCGAGATGTATATGCGACAACGTCGTTTGCCGGTACCGCAAAAATGCGACACGATGATTTGGAAGTCGTTTAACAAGTCTGTAGTGTTTAAATTAAATATTTCGCAACTCATTGATTCTAGGATGCGCCTGTGTTTGAGATAAATAGCGATTAAATCTTAGATTCAAATTAGGGATCGCAAAATAATTTATGAATTTTAATACCTTGACTTGATTTAATTTGGTGAATTCTGTTCGCATAAAAGAATTCTAATTTTTTTTTCGTTCACAAAATTGTAACGTTTTCGCTCCGAACATCGCTCTGTCACTGTTATGTAAGCAACTAATATGTACAAAACAGAGAAATTTTTCATCGAGAGAATTTGCGTAAGCAAGGTAACACGCCCTCACTGAGAAGTAGCAAAGACTTCTGAGCAAAGTTATGAACAAAAAAACATTTAAGGATTGTTTTATCTTGATTTATTGTGGCGAATTCTATTTGCATAAATGACTTCTGAACAAGACACTGTACAAGCCGTCAATTTTTATAAGATGCCATATATAGAACAAAAAATTCGCATTTCTCAAGTGAATATATTCGAAGCAAGTCACGCGCACTCACTCTTAAGCAAAGGAAACTCGTTTCCGTGAAAAGTTACAAGAGGCCGCAAAGATGCTGCTGAAACTATGCCAAACACGTGGTGGCGCATTTGGAGCCAGCGTCAACTAGAATGGTGTGTCCCGAATAGCGGAATACGACGAGTACTTTTCCCCAACTTAGCACGGTTGATAATGGACCAGCACTAACTAGTTCTCGATCGCAGGTTTAATATCTCAATTTTAAGTCTCAAATTATTTGATCATTGTCCGGATAGATAGACGATAATTGCACTCTTGCCCAGGTTCGGACGATGGATAAGATCAGCCTTGCGCTCCTGTCTAATTATGTCGCAATTGCGGGCTCGAAGCTTGATAATTTCAATGTATTGCTCGCCAAGTTTATTTCAAGATGTAAGACATTTCGTATGCTCTACCTATTTGAAAAGCTTGCCATCTGGATCGGAAACTTTTTACGTTGGTGTGTGTTTCTTACATGAAACGAGATATCATATGACAACGTTGTAACAAAATATGGTTTCAATTTTATGGGGAAAAAATGGGAAAAGTTGGCAAATCCTACTAGGCTCAAATGTTGGGATAAATAAAAACAGGTGCAGCTACCTACCTTTCCCATTTTAATTCGAGGAAACATTTTGACTGTTTCTACGAATTGGCTATTTTGAAGTGGACATGCACTTGAAGGACTCAATAATTATGTAATTATTCAAATCTATTTTTAACAATATGGACGTCACTTGCCACTCGACGTCATGAGCTTATTTATGAAAAATACCAATGGCGACCTCACATGTTTCAATGTTAACCCTTCGTTTTCATTCACGAAATACGTGCGCTATTTTAAAATAAAAAATGCCATGCAGTTGACAATGTAAAAGTTTATCTCGTAGAAAAAGCCGTCCTAATTAACTTAACCAGATTGTCTAAAGATTAACACATACTTCTAAGCGCCGAAGGCCATAATATAATAAATATAGAATAAATGAATAATAGAATATAAATTCCATTCATAAGAATTGAGTATTCGACTTCGTTAACCTTGTGTTAACCATACTGTGCCATTTAAAAAAATACCTGCGCTAAAATAAAAGAATGAATGCAGTTAATCGTGCGAAAAGGGTTAATCGTAAACAATATAGCCACGTTAACAGTTCAACCAGATTTTCTAAAGATTAAAACAATGTTTCTAATTGCCTAGGGACAAAACGAATATTTGAATAGAATATTCGAATGTTAGCCCTGTTTTAATTCTACTTTTCAACGAAATACCTGCGCGAAATATCTTTAAAAAATGCAGTTAACGGGTTAATCGAAAAAAATTAGCCACGTCAATAGTTAGACCAGATTTTCTGAAGAATAAAACAATGTTTCTATTTGTCAAAGAACAAGGATAAATATTTGAATACAGATTCCACACAAACTGACAAGTATTTCGTGGTTATACTGTTAATTCCGTACAAAGACATGAATTTATACAAATATTTCGTGATCACTCTTGCTTTATTTTGTGCTTTCCAGCGATGGCTAATAAAAAACGATTTGATTGAATGATTGAAACTAAAATTCCATCTATATACCAAAACTACGTTAATATATCATTGATAAGCTGAAATATTTGCTTGTCTGATATTTCGCAACAATAGAACAGAATTTTTGTAGGTAATTCTAAGCAATTACTTAGAGCCTCGATTGAAGTAGAGTCTGATGACTTTTTATTCGGCAGTAAATAAATGTAACCTCAATGCGGCAATTTTACCTGGCAGTAAATAAATGTAACCTCAATGCGACAATTTTACCTGGCAGTAAATAAATGTAACCTCAATGCGACAATTTTACTTGGCAGCAAATAAATGTAACCTCAATGCGACAATTTTACTTGGCAGTAAAAAAATTTAACCTCAATGCGACAATTTTACTTGGCAGTGAATAAATGTAGGCGCAATGCGACATTTTTACTCGGCAGTGAATAAATGCAAACCTCAATTTTACTCCATTTCCCCAACATGCTTCTTTTTGTGGTTATGATTACGGTCATAGGATTTTGTACATTCAATAATATAGAATTGTTTTTTGTTGTACTATATTTCTCCCAGAACACATCTAGCATCAAGTAACCATTTAATTCGCAATTTAATTGAGCTACTGTGTGAAATCTTTTCTGATCGGCTCAAGTATTCAGTTTAGTGTGGAGATTAAATCTGAAGACAGTTTTTCTTTCATTCGTCCAGATGTTATCTTTATTGCAATATTTCTTACAGAATAAAGGCCAATATAAAATTTTCATATGCCGTAATACTGTGTGTCGGAATGAGTACTTAGCTTATTTCTTGAGGTATTTGGCCTGTGGGGTTTACCCCTCGACCCCCAAAAGTGCTATTCCTCAAGTTATTCTGCCTATTAAGCTCCATGACGTCAAAGAGTCATTTCTCAAATTATTCTGCCCGTTCCGGTCCACCGAACAATATCAAAACTAACTTATTCTTGTTCTTAATTTCAGCTCAATTCGTTTCAAATTATTCTCACAACCGACGGAATCCAATCTTACGCTATATTTAACTATGAAGACCCTTTGACTTGGAGTTCTGCAGGAGGCAAATTTGCTGGCGCAGGAATATACGTTGCCAAAGATGCAGAAAGTTTTTGTTCTTATGAACTTCCCAGCTCTCAGACTGAAGAGGTACAAATAGAATACTAAGGCTATCAATAAATTGATGCAAGGGTCTTGCTACACACTAACACATTCACCGATTTTATTGATTTTTTAACATGCGTAACTCCCATAATTTTACACTGATTGTTTATATATACATGCAACTGCTTTTCTTGTTATAGTTGAACTATGTATGTCTAAAGAAGGCTGACTTTCGTCAGACGACACATTACTTATATTTGTGTTAGTGTGCAGCAAGACTCTTGAATCACTTAGGATAGTTATCTTTACTCTTGCTACAGCATCATTGCAATATATGCATACGAATCCACTGGCAAAAAAGCATAGAAGGATAAGTAGTTAGTCTCGCAGAAACCAAATCATTAGCGTCGATAAATTGATATTCGAATCTTATGATACAATGTGGATAGTTTACGACTAAAGTTTTAATGAGAACTCCGCATGTAGTAAAAAAAATATGAATGGAATTTTGTATAATTATCACGATACTTGAAAAAGTTTTCCAAAGAATTTAACGCAAGTCAGTAAGTTTGTGGAGGGTTCTTCAAATGGCCTATTCCGTAGACAAATATTGGTGGAATATTGGGAAAACAGTTGAAACCGCCCAAAGCTCTGTCAACATATTTTTGTTGAATACAAAGTCGTTTGACCACATTGTAGACACACTGGAAAGCATCGTTCATTCTAAATTAGTGGTTTCCAAACTGCGGGCCAATTAGGACACGCGTAATGATTGAATATGGCGAACTTTACACTTTTTTGCGTTCTAGATACCGCCAATTGTTATGTCATTATCACAGTTTAAGCACGTGTATATTCGTAACAATTCAATTATACCGGTATCTTAATTATACGTGCCGGTCCCTTGCGGGCGCTCCTCTCTCCCGGCCCGCGAATATCCTTCCGCTTCTAATTTTGGCCCCTGGTCAATCCACTTTGGGAACCACTGTTCTAAATGCTGCTCATGATAGTTAAATTACCATTCATACAAGCATATAAGAAGACAATGAATAACTTATAATTCAAAATGGTAATCCACAAATGTCGGGCCTTTATTTACTTCTTTATTCACTGCTATTCACTACTTTATTAACCCATAAAATTTTGTCCTTCGTATTAAAATGTTTTATTCGATTGATTTCAGGTTTTGGATTACTCTGCAGGACTGGGAAAATATGTATTTTTAATTTCCGAACCTTTACGTTGCGATGCATCTACATTTCGTAAGTATTTATTATGTAATTCAAACGGCTGAATTTATCTTTCCCTCTCATACATTGGAATACCTGTATTTTGTAAGCAATATTCACATAAAATAAAATATAACATTAGTGAAGTTAAAAGTTGACAGCAAAACTATGAATCCTCACAAATGAGAATGAGACACAAAATTTTGTCAGTATTTTACTTTGGTATGGAAAGATGTGAAAACAACAAATTTGAATGCAATTTCACCAATTAAACATGCTAGATTTAGACGACTATACAGTCACATACACACATTTGGAACGATCACGTTGACTATTAAATTTAGTTAGGATTGAGCCACATACAACCTTTCTCTGGAACATACATGAAAGTTAATCTCGACCTTACGCTTTTCTACTGAACTTTTTATATATTCAGAATCAGCATGTCCTAATAATTTACAAGCAAGCGATTGGGGATCGACAGAGCCTTACTTTTCAATAGCCGGAACTTCGTGGGACGTTTATGGATTACATACATGTAATCAAGGATTTCATATCAGACCCGGAGTAAACTCAGAACGCATTGATTGCGTTTATCAATCTGATTATTATACCAGTGATTGGGATAAAGCGCCTGAAAAATGCCTTGGTAAGTTTTATTTGAACAACGCCTATTTAAGACTTTGAACATTGCCCTATAAAACGGTCACTGATATTTGACGATATCTTTCTGGTTTAGCATCGTCCACCCAATTTATTACTACTAATTTATCATATTTTATGGTGTAGGACCACGGGATTTGAAACACAAAATGAGTTTGCGATCTTCCAAATTTTAGTATTGAAATTGCTAGCGCATAAGTGATGCCCTAGTGAAATTTGCGATCAGTGAAAAATAATGAAAAAATGTAACAAAAAAAGCCTTATAGAATTTTAGAATAACAGAATATTCGCCTAAACTTTTTTTTATCAATTCTATTTTCACAGACCTAAATGCCACGAAGACATTTGATATTACCGTAAAGGTATCCAAGATAGGAAACGATTCGATAAAAACGATCGGAGAACCACAAACTTGGACACCCGACGAATACAATGAACTGAAGACGCCAATTGAAAACGCTGTGAGTATATCACTTTATAGGTGTGTAGACTGGTGATGTGAGGAGTCGGAAAAAGTTACAAACCGGACTTCATTACCCTAAAATGATGACTCCGACTTCACGTTGATAAATTCCACCTCGACTACGGGATAGAAAAACTGACTATGCAGCTTTCTTTTTAATTTTCTCCGGAATAGCAAAATTAGCTATAGATAAAAATACTTGCAAAAGTTTTCTTATTAGTTTTAGTTTATTTTTGATCCCAGATTTACTCCAATTGAATTCGAAAATATAATTCCACCCCAATTTCAATACTAGAAAAAATCTGGGAGTACCACTTAACAGACTTGTCAGTGCTGTTTGCATTCAGTAGAAAACGAATATAATCATCGTTTTAAAATTATTCCAATATGTATCCTCACGGCCTCAAATACAACGTCAGATGATATCAAATGATTAAAGTAAGTAGATGTTTTAAGAAGTATATGCAAATAAATAATTGAAAATATTTGAATTATAACATTGAAATTATTTCATCAACACAATTAAACTTAATTTTTCAGATCAAACGGATATTAAATTTAACTGACGTCATAATCACGGTTACAAACATTACAAGTGATACCGGAATACCAGGAGCCAGGTATGTAAAAATAGTCGACATTTCAAAATACTTCTGTTGACTAAAGGCTCAATAAATATTCGTTTTCACTCGATCTGAACAAGTGGTGTGCAACATTTTTTTGTGAATGGGCCATATAACCATCTTCAGACATCAAGCTAGGCCACACAAAAAAATTAAATTTTGCAGAGTAGCAAAATAGGCCACTTATCTACTTCAAATTCTATAAAGCTGGTGGCTGGGAAGGGACCAGCAACCACAATGAATGATTATTACATACCAATATAATGTTGTAAACAAATGCCATGAAAGGCAGCAGCACCGAAATACAGAGCTTGGGATGGGCAACACAACGCGGCTATCGCTTGGACTTACAGTAATAAAGGCACCGGGCAATCGACGAAGAATAACGCAACGACAAAAGCAATAAAAAACTTACGTATTTTTACTCATGTTAGCGCTGTTATAAACTGTTTCAGTAGCTTTGGCAGTCTCTACTTCCATTCTAAGTATGCGTGACCTTGCTCTAAGCTAATTCTATCAATAGTAACAACATTTTTGTTTCACAGGACTCAGACAGACGTTACATTATCGGTCGATGTTCGGGTACACATCCCACCTTACATTCATAAGAAAATCACACCAGATGAAATAACCAATATTATATTGACGAATATAGAACTTAAAGGAGAAGTTGGCGGTATCACTTTTGTGCCAACAGTTTTAGTAACAGGTATGTGAATTTTTTAATATTGTTAGATTAGATTATTGTTAGATCCTGCCCACCCCTGATTTAGAGATATAATTGTATATTTGGCGCTTGCAACTCTTATCAGAAAATTTCAGTCGATGGCTGATAGTCTAATTTTATTGCTAAATCAACATTGTTTAATCATAATTGCTAAGCGTACTTATTTTCTATTTTAGAAGAAACAGACCCGTGTTTGCAAGGATGTATATGCAGATTCAAACCAGAACCAAAAGTATGTCCACGCGGTAAAATTCCCCAAATAAAACCAGACAGTTGTTGTGGAGGATGCAACGGAAAACCATATTCATCTACTATCAAGGTATTTACAATAAAATAGTGTGGAAAATTTTAAGTATTACATAACTCGTTCCAGTTGTAAATCAGATTTTATACAGCCCTAAAATCGGCATTATGTGTACCAATATGGGGGTAACTAATTTTGTTCGCAAAGAACAAAGAGTGTCGATAAAGTCTATTTGAAATTCCAAAATTGTAATACAAACTCACATAATTCATTTTTCGCATTGAAAAAGAAAACTTTATTAAAAACGTATCGCCGTCGTTTGATAACCGTCTAGTTTAGTTTTATGGACTGGTTCTGAACTATTCAAATAACCGTTGCCCCTTCAACTTCAAAAATAATTTGGGGGATAAACAAATTATAGATGCATAGAATTATATACCTCCCAAGTACTCGAGATTCGATTCGAAAAAAAATATTTGATTCGATTCTTAAATCATCAGATATTCGAAAATGTCCAGCCGTATAGATAACAATACTTTTCTTATGTACTCTGATATAAAATATTTACATTTTACAGGCATGCTGTAACAATCTACTTATTTATGATCCAACGAAAGCAAAGTGTTGCAATGGAAGGGTTCGGAAAGGAGCAACAGGCCCGTGCCCTAAAAACTGAAAATAAAGATAAACTATACAGCCATTAGACGAAAACGGCTGTATAAGCAGATGCAACGGCGTCCCGCCCTTCTCCCGCCAATATTTAAAACTCGCGGGTGTATTATGACGAAAGAATTAGTCTGTAATTCAACATTGAAACGTAACAGAACATGTGGCTTGGAAATTGTTATACGGAAAGGAACATAATTGTGCCGGACCAAAATAAAATTTCCGGTGGATCACATCAAAATGTAAAAACTCATAAAAAATCAATATATAAACTATATAAGTTTAGAACATTCAAGAGTCTTCACCCTGCCTTGATACAAAATAAACATTGTTGGTGGAACTAAAAAAATGCTTTCGAAACTTGCTTGCTTGTTAAGTAAAATTTGGTGTAGCAAATGTATATTTCCCACTCTCGTGTCTTGTTTGCGAGAGCCACAGACAATAAACTCCCGGGATTCATCAGTCGTTTGGTTTAGCGACATTCAGTTTCGTGTCAAAGTAAAGCGTATTATCTTATATTCGAATAGTGAAACGCCATTCCAATACGTTGTTCGAATATTTTGCCCAGCATACAAATACGGCTACAAACTTCACCTAAACACGGTTCTCGGAGATATATCATAGATAGTTTTCAAACAAACACGAGTAGTTGTTAAAATATTAATAGATAAAATACATAGATGATATGCGTCTACAAGAATTTGAATGCTTGTCTAGTTTTTTTCTCAAATAAAAATCATGTACGTCAATAGAATGGTTATAGTTGCATTCGAAAAATGACCAGTGCTTTAGTTTTTGTGTTGTAATATTTTATTATTTATTTTCATACTGTTTTTCATCCTTTCCAAAGTTTAGAGTTTGTAATTCCTAAAATAATGTCTGTTTATTTCTATGCTTTATGATACAACAATAGTATTCTGACGTCACAGTTTTGTTTTGGGACAATGGCGTCGTCATTAATTTGATATTGTTATGTGAGAATGTCAAAATCGCCTGCATAATTTTCATTGTTCTTTCTTTCATTCCAAAAAACAACATATTTTTCATCTGCTATTTTTCGTCTTTTTGGGGTATTATAGCGTTATCGACTCATCATTGATTTTTTCATCTATTTTGTTTATTCCGTTTATTTTAGGCATGGCTAGATAACTAGATTTAAAGAAATTAATCAGATAGTTATTGGTCGAGTAATAACGATACAGCATTTTTTCTGTTGCCATGGCGTCGCCAAGTTCATGTCATCTGTAATAACCATGAAATGCTATTTGATAAGTCCTGAATTGGTTATCCACACCAGTGCTTCCCAGAATTCCAAGCTGTCGACACACGGCATAGGTTACGAAAGAGCGCCGTTTCTCTGCTCTGATCTCGAAATTGTATGATTTACGATCTGCACTAATCTAATTTTGTAATTAGAATCAAATATCTAAAAATGTACAATAGATATAATACTTTGTGTGGGATTGGTGTATTTTTTACGCCCTTTGAAGTTTGTCGCCCGTCCCCATGTGGGGTTGCGACCCCCAGTTCAGGAGTCCCTGATCTACCCATCATTAATAATGTGAATATGATATCGAATTCTGAAATTACAAAAAGATACGATGAAAAGCTGTTGAATTATTATTTTGTGTGGCTAATTCAATAATTCTGTTACATCTTTTCCAACCTCCCTAACCAACGCAAATTTGAAATAGTTGCAATGTTAACATAAATAATATTTCTTAGCAATGTTTACATATCGAAGACTTCATGATCGTCCGGAATGTTTTTATGTTATATTTTACTTAGCAATTTTTCATTTTTTAGGTTTTATTTCAACCGTAATATCCAAACAACAAAATGTCAAGTTTATCCAAAATTGTATAGGGTGAAAACAGGCTTAAAAATGTACACCAATTTGTTTCCTAACAGAGGCGTAGACATGGGTGAGCGTCAGACCCCCCTTTTGAAATGTAAAGCATTTTTCTGTATCATACATTGTAATTTTCTAAGCTTGGAACGCTTTTTAGCCTCCCATTACTTTTGAAAACCCAGGTTTTCCGACCTCCAGTCGGGCCTGCTACCTATCGCGGTCTAACTTGACAATTAGAAATTTCATAACACTCTCCCCCCTTTGAAAATTTTTGACTACGCCCATGTTCTATAATACCACATATTACGAAATTATTTTTATCACAATTATACGATTCATAAAAAATAACATTCCAATATACAGTAAGTGTTTGCTACCGCCATAAAATGTATCTGCGATTTCCAATCTACATATTACGAGCCATATTCATCCCACTTTAACCAAGAAACCTATCAAAAATCAAAAGTCTGGAGTTACTGTTCATTTTGTGATTAGAAATTTTGGAAATAAACTATTGTTTTGCATTACAATGCAACCTTGTCGTAATTGTTGTTTTTAAATAGAGTATCGGTTGATCTGCACTTATTTTGAAAATAAAAAGTATGGGGAATGCGTTTTTGTGTTATTTTGTTTACAAAAGGGTTTTGGGGCGAAGGCGAAGAGAATTTCACATTTGTATTTAGACGAATTCTACATGCACCAACCCAAATATGAAGATATTGTTTAAGACTTGCTAGTTTATGATTCAAATAAATTCGGGTGTAGTACTATTTTACAAGCCTCATGAATAGACAAAAAATTAGGCGCTCAGAACATTTCAGAACGACAAATTCAAAAAAGGGAAACACTGGACTGATGGATGATGAACCATACAGCACATAGTACTAATTTAGTTCCGGCATAAGCCATTACCTTACTAGCCTAATAATCCATTCAACACTTTAAAATATAGTACTCACGGAAACTTTAAATTGACATCGATAGGTCCAAATGCGCCGTCACTTCAAAGAAATCACCTGCCAGAAGTTCGAGAACACAGACTACAAAGTACCGGTAGCCTGCCTGATCGACGTCCAGTGTTGTTAAAATTAGTTAGCTATTTGTTTACCCACACTAAATTCAAATCAAATGCTTCTTGATTAATGATATACTCTGATCGTTCAGCACAAATTAAACCAGAAATGGAGACGAGTACTAATACAGTACAGTAATAAGCAAGATTCAAACCTGCGAGCGCGGAGTAATCAAAGAGGCGATGGCAAAGTAACGTAAACCACTCATGATGCAATAAGTTAGTTCTTACTAAGAAGAGGCTAAATGAAATACGAATGATGCAATAATTCAGTCTATTTCTCTATGACGAAATGAGAAAAACGTGTAAATGAAGAAGTTTTGAAATTCCCGAAGTATGTGAACCAACATGACGGACACCGGAACGTAGTGAGTATATCAGGTTAGGGTTAGGCCATAATTTTATTCCATTTTCCCTGTTTAAGTTCTATCACGAGTTCGGGAACTAGCCACTTGACTCCCGTAGTATTTATACCCGAAATTATGGCCTAACCCTAATCTGGTACACATGCTACGTTCCGGTGTTCGCCAACTTGGTTCACAGGCTTCGGGAGTACCAAAGTACCGCTCGTGACTTACACTTAGGTGCCCACGGTGATGTGTAATTAGTGGGGAGTATTCGGCTTCAAGCCTCCGCTGTCATTGAATCCCCACTGCTTTTTTTAACAACTGCTGTAACCACTTTGATTCAACCACTGTGAAGCTAGTAGCAATTTGACCTTTGTGTGCGGCGAAGCGGAAAGGTTAATATTTATGGCAGAAATGGAGGCGTGTCAGAATCTACACCCGAAAAAATGAAGATAAACGAAATTAGCATACTATTATGGGAAATATGTTTATAATTTAGGAAAAATAACAATTATATAGTAAAAAAATAAATAATAAAAGCTTGAAAAGGAATGAAAAAACAAAAAAAGGGGAAACGAATTTTATTTAACTTCCTTCGAAAAAGCAGATAAGCCAGATAATTTCAAATCCAAGCAAAAATCCCTTCCGCGGTAGAGGCATTCGATTTCATTATTTATTAATAAAGAGGTTTATGTTAATTTTTTCCCACAACTAGAACCTAAGTCTTTTTTTTTATTTTAGAATCTACGTTTTTTTCATAGCGAAAATGACCTTATTTGGGAAAATTACGTATAACGAAAAAAGTTAAATCTAGTCAATTTTCAAAGTCCAGCAACACACCCTTCTGCACAAAAGACATTCGATTTCATTATTTGTTATTAAAGAGGTTTACCTGAAGTTTTTCACTCAACTAGAACCTAAGCCTTTTTCATTTTAAAATCAAGGGTATTCTCATAGCGAATATGGCCTTGTTTGAAAAAAATACGTATATCGACAAAAAATAATTTAGTCAATTTTCAAAGCCCAGCTGCACACTCTTCCCCACAAGAGGCATTCGGTTTGATTATTTCCCATTAAAGAAGATTACCAGAAGTTTTTCACACAACTAGAACCTAAGCCTTTTTTATTTTAGAATCTGGGGTATTCTCATAGCGAAAATGGCCTTATTTGGAAAAATTAGGTATAGCGAAAAAAGCTAATGTAGTCCATTTTCAAAGCCTAGCAGCACACCCTTCCGCACAAGAGGCATTCGATTTGATTATTTCACGTTAAAGAGGTTTATCTGAAGTTTTTCACACAACTAGAACCTAAGCCTTTTTAATTTTAGAATCTACGTTATTCTTATGGCGAAAATGGCCTTATTTTGAAAAATTACGTATAGCGAAAAAAGCTAATTTAGTCAATTTTCAAAGCCTAGCAGCACACCCTTCCTCACAAGAGGCGTTCGATTTGATTATTTCATGTTAAAGAGGTTTACCTGAAGTTTGCCACACAACTAGAACCTAAGCCTTTTTTATTTTAGAATCTGGGGTATTCTCATAGCGAAAATGGCCTTATTTGGAAAAATTACATATAGCGAAATGAGCTTATTTAGTCAATTTTCAAAGCCTAGCAGCACACCCTTCCGCACAAGAGGCATTCGATTTGATTCTTTTATGTTAAAGAGGTTTACCTGAAGTTTTTCCTACAACTAGAACCTAAGCTTTTTCATTTTATAATCTACGTTATTCTTATGGCGAAAATGGCCTTAATTGGAAAAATTACGTATAGCGAAAAAAGCTAATTTAGTCAATTTTCAAAGCCTAGCAGCACACCCTTCCGTACAAGAGGCATTCGATTTGATTATTTTATGTTAAAGAAGTTTACCTGAAGTTTGACACACAACTAGAACCTAAGCCTTTTTTATTTTAGAATCTGGGGTATTCTCATAGCGAAAATGACTTTATTTGGAAAATTACGTATAGCGAAAAAGCTAATTTAGTCAATTTTCAAAGCCTAGCAGCACACCCTTCCGCACAAGAGGCATTCAATTCGATTCTTTTATGTTGAAGAAGTTTACCTGAAGTTTGCTACACAACTAGAACCTAAGCCTTTTTTGTTTCAGAATCTACGTTATTCTTACGGCGAAAATGGCCTTATTTGGAAAAATTACATATAGCGAAATGAGCTTATTTAGTCAATTTTCAAAGCCTAGCAGCACACTTTTCCGCACAAGAGGCATTCGATTTGATTTTTTTATGTTAAAGAGGTTTACCTGAAGTTTTTCCTACAACTAGAACCTAAGCTTTTTTCATTTTATAATCTACGTTATTCTTATGGCGAAAATGGCCTTAATTGGAAAAATTACGTATAGCGAAAAAAGCTAATTTAGTCAATTTTCAAAGCCTAGAAGCACACCCTTCCGTACAAGAGGCATTCGATTTGATTATTTTATGTTAAAGAAGTTTACCTGAAGTTTGACACACAACTAGAACCTAAGCCTTTTTTATTTTAGAATCTGGGGTATTCTCATAGCGAAAATGACTTTATTTGGAAAATTACGTATAGCGAAAAAAGCTAATTTAGTCAATTTTCAAAGCCTAGCAGCACACCCTTCCGCACAAGAGGCATTCAATTTGATTCTTTTATGTTGAAGAAGTTTACCTGAAGTTTGCTACACAACTAGAACCTAAGCCTTTTTTGTTTCAGAATCTACGTTATTCTTACGGCGAAAATGGCCTTATTTTGAAAAATTACGTATAGCGAAAAAAGCTAATTTAGTCAATTTTCAAAGCCTAGCAGCACACCCTTCCGCACAAGATGCATTCGATTTGATTATTTCATGTTAAAGCGGTTTACCTGAAGTTTGCCACACAACTAGAACCTAAGCCTTTTTTATTTTAGAATCTAGGGTATTCTCATAGCGAAAATGGCCCTTTTTGGAAATATTACGTAGAGCGAAAAAAGCTAATTTAGTCAAATTTCAAAGCCTAGCAGCACACCCTTCCGCACAAGAGGCATTTGATTTGATTATTTTATGTTAAAGAGGTTTACTTGAAGTTTTCTACACAACTAGAACCTAAGCCTTTTTTATTTTTGAATCTACGTTATTCTCATGGCGAAAATGGCCTTATTTTGAAAAATTACGTATAGCAAAAAAAGCTAATTTAGTCAATTTTCAAAGCCTAGTAGCACACCCTTCCGCACAAGAGGCATACGATTTGATTATTTCATGTTAAAGAGGTTTACCTGAAGTTTGCCACACAACTAGAACCTAAGCCTTTTTTTATTTTAGAATCTGGGGTATTCTCATAGCGAAATTGGCCTTATTTGGAAAAATAACATATAGCGAAATAAGCTTATTTAGTCAATTTTCAAAGCCTAGCAGCACACCCTTCCGCACGAGAGGCATTCGATTTGATTATATCATGTTAAAGAGGTTTGCCACACAACTAGAACCTAAGCCTTTTTTATTTTAGAATCTACGTTTTTCTCATGGCAAAAATGGCCCTAATTAGAAAAATTACACATAGCGAAAAAAGCTAATTTAGTCAATTTTGAAAGCCTAGCAGCACACCCTTCCGCACAAGAGGCATTCGATTCGATTATTTTACATTAAATTTCTAAAATAAAAAAGGCTTAGGTTCTAGTTGTAGGAAAAACTTCAGGTAAACCTCTTTAACGTGAAATAATCAAATCGAATGCGTCTTGTGCGGAAGGGTGTGCTGCTAGGCTTTGAAAATTGACTAAATAAGCTTATTTCGCTATACGTAATTTTTCAAAATAAGGCCATTTTCGCCATAAGAATAACGTAGATTCTAAAATAAAAAAGGCTTAGGTTCTAGTTGTGTGTCAAACTTCAGGTAAACTTCTTTAACATAAAAGAATCAAATCGAATGCCTCTTGTGCGGAAGGGTGTGCTGCTAGGCTTTGAAAATTGACTAAATTAGCTTTTTTCGCTATACGTAATTTTTCCAAATAAGGCCATTTTCGCTACGAGAATACCCCAGATTCTAAAATAAAAAAGGCTTAGGTTCTAGTTGTGTGGAAAACTTCAGGTTAACTTCTTCAACATAAAAGAATCAAATCGAATGCCTCTTGTGCGGATGAGTGTGCTGCTAGGCTTTGAAAAATGACTAAATTTTCTTTTTTCGCTATACGTAGTTTTTCCAATTAAGGCCATTTTCGCCATAAGAATAACGTAGATTATAAAATAAAAAAGGCTTAGGTTCTAGTTGTAGGAAAAACTTCAGGTAAACCTCTTTAACGTGAAATAATCAAATCGAATGCCTCTTGTGCGGAAGGGTGTGCTGCTAGGCTTTGAAAATTGACTAAATTAGCTTTTTTCGCTATACGTAATTTTTCCAAATAAGGCCATTTTCGCTACGAGAATACCCCAGATTCTAAAATAAAAAAGGCTTAGGTTCTAATTGTGTGGCAAACTTCAGGTAAACTTCTTTAACCTAAAAGAATCAAATCGAATGCCTCTTGTGCGGAAGGGTGTGCTGCTAGGCTTTGAAAATTGACTAAATTAGCTTTTTTCGCTATACGTAATTTTTCCAAATAAGGCCATTTTCGATATGAGAATACCCCAGATTCTAAAATAAAAAAGGATTAGGTTCTAGTTTTGTGGAAAACTTCAGGTAAACTTCTTTAACATAAAATAATCAAATCGAATGCCTCTTGTGCGGAAGGGTGTGCTGCTAGGCTTTGAAAATTGACTAAATTAGCTTTTTTCGCTATACGTAATTTTTCCAAATAAGGCCATTTTCGCTATGAGAATACCCCAGATTCTAAAATAAAAAAGGATTAGGTTCCAGTTTTGTGGAAAATTTCAGGTAAACTTCTTTAACATAAAAGAATCAAATCGAATGCCTCTTGTGCGGAAGGGTGTGCTGCTAGGCTTTGAAAATTGACTAAATTAGCTTTTTTCGCTATACGTAATTTTTCCAAATAAGGCCATTTTCGCTATGAGAATACCCCAGATTCTAAAATAAATATGGCTTAGGTTCTAGTTGTGTGGCAAACTTCAGGTAAACCTCTTTAACATGAAATAATCAAATCGAATGCGTCTTGTGCGGAAGGGTGTGATGCTAGGCTTTGAAAATTGACTAAATTAGCTTTTTTCGCTATACGTAATTTTTCCAAATAAGGCCATTTTCGCTATGAGAATACCCCAGATTCTAAAATGAAAAAGGCTTAGGTTCTAGTTGTGTGGCAAACTTCAGGTAAACTTCTTTAACATAAAAGAATCAAATCGAATGCCTCTTGTGCGGAAGGGTGTGCTGCTAGGCTTTGAAAATTGACTAAATTAGCTTTTTTCGCTATACGTAATTTTTCCAAATAAGGCCATTTTCGATATGAGAATACCCCAGATTCTAAAATAAAAAAGGATTAGGTTCCAGTTTTGTGGAAAACTTCAGGTAAACTTCTTTAACATAAAAGAATCAAATCGAATGCCTCTTGTGCGGAAGGGTGTGCTGCTAGGCTTTGAAAATTGACTAAATTAGCTTTTTTCGCTATACGTAATTTTTCCAAATAAGGCCATTTTCGCTATGAGAATACCCCAGATTCTAAAATAAATATGGCTTAGGTTCTAGTTGTGTGGCAAACTTCAGATAAACTTCTTTAACATAAAATAATCAAATCGAATGCCTCTTGTGCGGAGAGTGTGCTGCAGGGATTTGAAAGTTGCCAAAATTAGCTTTTTTGACTTTTGTATATTGCATAATTTTGTTTGTACCATTTTTATAAAATTATCGTGTATTAATGACACGATTGCACATAATTCTGGAAATTTGTCATCTCTTGAATAAAAAATTAATATTTCGCGCCACCAATATAGAAGAGACGTTATGCTGATCTTCAAACTATCCAAATTACGATATAACGATAATGTACGACATATAATAACCTGACTTCTGTTTTCAGCGCCAGTGAGACATATTGAAACAAAACAATTTTTACGTTCTGTTCATTGCATGTGTTGAAGAATTTGCTTTATACTACAAAATGCATGTGAAACTTCTTAAATTACTAAGACATATTATAATGAAGTTTAACGTTTGTTACGTAATACAATACACAGTTTGAAACGAAGTAAAGCACTTTTACGGCTACGAAATGTTGTAATTTAGTAGGCTGGTTTTGAAATATTTTTAAAGTTATACAAAAATGCTCGGGGCTCTTGGTTGAATTAACACTTTAGCAAAATAAGCAGCGCGCATAAAGCATCACGGAATGGGCACCATATAAATTTTTATCGGTATCACAGTGTTTAATAATGTAAATCGAGTTGGTCAGACGATTTGGACCTCAACTCAATGGCTCGGTTGATATTGCTTATTTCTCTTAGTTCGCGTACCATCTTGCACCTCTGTATAAATGTTTGCAGGCATGAGAAGTATTTCCAAAAAATGTCACATAAATTGAACATAACTTAGCTTTTAATTAGCAGTTATTACCGAAACCTATGCAGGTGACATGGAACACTCGTTTCGTTATATTTTCAAGCTTATATGAATACGTAATCTAACATTTTTTGTCAAAATGTTCGTCCTGATCAATTTTATCAGCCGAGTATATTTAATTTCGACAACGTACTATGACAAATGAAACTGCATAGGCGATCACTGCTTATCGTGATGTATTTCTTCCACAGCCTGTCTACAAACTTAATCATTGTTCTCTGTGTGGAATTTAGGACTCGCCCATGTTTTACGCCACCACCCTTCAATAAGCACAAAACTGTCATATCACCCTTCAATGAGCACAAAAACGAGATTATACGCACCGCTGCGCAAAATTAGAAGAAGGTTTGCTACTAGCTTCACAGTGGTTTTGATTCACGGGAACCAGAGCTTCGAGAACAAAAGGCCGCACGCGGCTCCGGAGCCGGAGGTTGCCGATCGCTGATCTAGAACAATGATCAATCAGCAACAACTTGACGGTGACGTAACAATTATAACTGTCCGCCCTAAATTCCTTTTTGGACACGTTTAGTGGCCATAACGATCGTTTCAAAATTTTGTTGTTATTGTTATTTTCTTTCGTCATTATCATTAAAAAATCGCTTTTCTCTTCGAATACTGGACCAATTGCTTTGGAATTTTCAGTGGTCCAAGATTGATTTTTTTGCCAGAAGGCTTTTATTTTTATTTATTCCTGAATTTTCTATGAATCTTATGAGATCTAATATTTCATCCAAAATTGCGCTGTATTAATTTTTAATTATGGGAACACGGTTTTTAATCCGCCAAGCGTGACGGCTGACTGTGAAAATTCTTGCGACTGAAAACCCGGAACTTTTTGAGGGTACGGTACCGGTAACGTCAAAGGTAAACCCTGCTTCGCTCTAGTCCGCGTGTCCATATATTTGAGCGTTGCTCTCTTGTTTCAATTATGACTCTTTTTGCTTTACATTTCTTTTTATTTGTGACTGGTATAATGCACATGTACTTAAAACCAAGAAAGTAAACAATACCTTGTAAAGAAAATACAAAAATACAATCATCATCTCATTTGAAAAAGAAAAATATCAGTGGACGAAAATACACGCGCAAAAATACAATGATCACATTGGTTACTTTGGTTTCATATGGTAAAAGGTCGACAACGAGGCAATGTTTATTATTCAGGATTGGAATTTCATATCTCGGGGAGGGAAATATTAAACACTTTAATGACATAGCAAACCACGGTTCTCCGTCCGGTTAGCAATTGATAGGAAAATCCTTTTTCTGTCGTTTGCACTATTTACGCCAGGGGTATGCAACAGGCGTCCCGCGGGCCACAACCCGTCCCGCCGAACCATTCAGTGTGGCCATTTTCCGCCATCAAGCATAAAATCCTAATCCAACAGTTTATATTTGGAAAGGATAACATGGATAAAAATACATAATGTTTTGTTTTTTACTCTTGTCGCTGCGTTAAATATTTTGCGTTTTGCCTGATGCATTTATTTCTACAAGGCTTAGCGATAGCCGCATTAGGGTGTCCCACCTGGGTGTTTGAAGTTGGTTATAGGGCCCACTGACAAAAAAATGTTGCACACCTCTGAGTTACGCGATACTAGCGCTTATTGGTCACGTAGCGGACATAGCGATCGTTTTGTCGTTCTTATTCTTGTTCTTGTTGTCTTTAACACGTTTTTAAGAAATCGCTTTTCTTTTTGATTACTGGACCAATTGCTTTAAAATTTTAAGTGGTTATTAAAGATAAAAATTTTCTCCAGAAGGCTATTACTTTTTTTTTTTTGCTATTACGTCATCAAAATTATTGCCATCAGGTGGCGCTACGTGATCATATATTTGAGCATCAGTCTTTTTTTCTATTTTAGTTTTATGTTCATTTCAAACTAAGCTAACACACTTATACAAATTTATACAACATTGAAAATGAACGACAATTAGAGAAGTAAATAATTTGAAACATCAATTCGGTTTCGGTACTATTTCGTTGCGAAAAGTTGCTGCCTTGATTTGAGTTTTTATTACGAGATATTTAGAATGAATTGTGTTTGAAAATTTGATTAAGATTGTGATTCCAACAGCATATAAAGTTTTAGGAAAATCAGAAATACGGCTGGTGCGTTGGGAGGTTTGAATAACAGAGATTCGCTGAGGAACACTACTTTAGAAAATTGAACCTTTGACTCTTTAAATATTCAGAGTGTAAAGATTAAGTAAGATGGATTTGGATCTAGGAAACTAGTTTTCTGTTGGTAACACTGCAAATTAAAAGCTTCGATGGAATTTAGTGGTGTGTTAATGGTTATTTTATATTCAATTCAACAATGTAATTCAACTTGGTAGTACAATGTTGAATGTACCATAAAAAGGAAATGGGCTTCGACAAAAAAACCATTTTTTTTTGAGCTCAAATATTTAAACATAGCTAAAAAACGTACTACAAGGTGTATTTTAGCATAGGTTCATTAGTATTCCATATTCCATTCAAAAACCAAATCGAATCAATGTTAAATTGAGCTTACCATGTTCAAGAATGCAAACACCTTAGCCAACTGGTCGAGACTTTATGAAACTGTAGCTGTACTTTGGCGGGCAAGAAACTTATTTTGGAATTGCGCATTTAGGAAAGTAAAAATTGAAAAAAAATATAAAAACAATAGTCTTGTCACGTGATTCAAAGCAACAAGGCGTTCCTTGGATTTCAAAATAAATAGAAAATAAAACTCATCAAATACGAAGTCGGAGTTTGAAGCATTTTAAGGACAGGCATTAGTCATTTCCTTGTGGCATGCATGTAGCATCCCTTGACTTATAAGAGTGATCTTAGTGGTCTTGGCGCACTGAGCTACCATAGTTATAAGTAAAATAAAACTGTAGAGAGAACAGTAACAACGAACCTCAGCTTGGAAGCCTTGTTTCGTATTTCATTTTCAGATCAGTTATTGGAAACCAACTTTTTCGTTTCGCTATTAACTTCGTAAAAGAGGACTCTGATATATAGCCATAAAGATACAACTTAATGTATATCCGAAAAACAACTGCCATAGTTACAGAAACATTTGACGAAATAACTATGATGTAATAAAAGATACTTGGACCTGCCTTATGACGTTATGTTATGACGTCACGATAAAACATATCACGCAACAATGGGAAAAAATAAAATATCATACTCATGTACACAGTTTTGTACAGTAGATTTCACGGATATTATGACGCAATACATTACGTCACCTTACCACGACGACAGCATGAACAAGCATATGGAAATGGGAAAGTGAAGAATTGCAAGAATCCATGGCCGCTTGTATATGCCGAGTCCTGAAAAAGTTGGAAAGATTGCATTATCATGTGTTCACGAGAAATATAACTAAGTCGCAAACTTTTATGTGATATATCTGTCGTAGGCAGGGGCTTTGTCAGGAATTTTCGAAAGGAATGGATTTCGGAAATTTCTATTTGCCAAGTTAGATCGAAACAGCAAGACGGAAAACATAGATTTTCATGTGGTCTTGAGGGTCTAAAAAGGGTTTCAAGCTACAAAAATTGTTTTGTATGATACCAGTGGCGTAGCATCCACCCCCGCAAATCCCCGCGGTCGCGGGAGGGCCCAAGCGCAAAGGGGCCCAAGCGGTTAGGATTTAGAAATTTAAGTCGCAAACCAAAAGCTACAGTGCGAACTAAGTAATGCACAGCTTAAAACGTTGATGTTAGTTCTGCTCAAATCGTTTTGTTACGTAACAATGCCAGAGAGTCGTCGATTTTCGGCGTTTTGTGGTCTGATCGCACCGACAAAATTACGAAGATGTCAGAATGATGTCGAAAGCAAAACCTCTCAGTGGCGAACAGAAACGCAGAAAAAGGTCAGAAGAGGAAGATCGTATAAAAAAAATTGAAGTAACCAAGATAAACAGCATAACATAATGATACAGAAAAAAAAAATTATTTTCATTTCAAAACGGGGTGTCCGACCTCCGAGGTCCATGGCTACGCCCCTGCCTCAGAGTGCGGATCGCTTAATTTGCATAGATTTGAGTGAAAACATTGGACTCGACACACTCATTTTTAGCCGTAAAGTTTTCTTAGCGGCTGTCGGTTAAAATTGAATAGGTCAGAATACTGTAAAATAGGTAACCAAGCATACATGAATAACTGACCATTTTATATACACTGACTACCAGAGCAATGGCAAAAATAAAAATAAAAAGCTTCAAAAAATATTGGCAGACAAAACGTAACACAATACAGTTCACAAAGATTTGATTTTGGATCATTTAATTGAAATTATTTCAAAATTGATACCTGAGTTTCCATCTCCATCATTTTGATCCAATGCAGATCCTTGTATTGGTGACTCTATTCTCTCATTGAATGATTTGTCTTTTCCTATCAGTATCGCTGTCACAGTTTCTGCAACAAATAAAAAAGATAGATATGGTCCCCATCATCTATTGCAGGAGTTCTCAAACTTCAGGTGAAATGGAGCCCGTATAGGGATTGACTATTATTTACGGATTCCCACAATAACTTTATAAAAATTATCTATTGCAACTTAAGATATTGTCATATTTGAATCACCGCCTCAATTGCTACTACATTTCGACGCTACTAACGTCAAGTTTCAATAATGCCGTTATTGCTTTTTTGCACAGTTACAAATTAGCCAAGTCACTAAAGTCAGTATTTTAACAAGTAAAACGAATAGCTCGATGAGCCTGGGTTCCTGTCATGGAGCCCTGGGGCTCTGTATGGAGCACTTTAAGAACCTACCATCTATTAAATGATCTCCTAAGTATAAAGCTGCCATGTTTACAGCAGGGAACAAGGAGTTGGGGCGAGGCTGCTAAGTCGAACTGCCAGGGGACGAGAGTCGGATCCGAAATTTTGATTCTGAGGAACCGAAGTTGGGTTTTAGACTTTTAATTGAATTTTTTTTTAACCGGGAATAGGAGTCGGAATATTTAACTATCCGACTTTGAAAAACGGAGTCGAATTTGTTTACGACCCGGAGTTGGGAATCGGAGTCGAAATTTTTTACCACTCGGAGTCGGATTTTTCTTAACTCGGAATCACTATCCGGCGTTGGGAGTCGGAGTCGAAATTTTTTACGACCAGGGGTCGAATTTTTCTCATTCCGAAGTTGATAGTCGTAGTCGGGATTTTTCACGATCCGGATTTGAGAAATCGAGTCGAAATTTTCACAATTTGGAGCTGGTAGTCGGAGTCGAAATTTTTTATTATCCGGACGGAGTTAGGAGTCTGATTCAAAACTTTTCACAACCGGAGTTTGGAGGCCGAGTCGAAATTTTTCACGACCCAGATTTTGAATTCAATTTTTTTTACAATGGAGGGTCAGGAGTCAGAGTACAAAATTTTCACAAACGGAACGGGGTCGAAATTTTCACGATCCAGAATCGTTGTTAAAATTTTACTGAACCCGGAGTTGGAAGTCGGTGACAATTTTATTTATTTTTTTTCCAGTCTGAAATCAGCCCTGTGCAAGATAATAAAGTATTAGAAGTATTTCTCCTTACTCTGTGTTCCTTTTTCGACCATATTTCTGATGCTTTTCTTCGAATTTTCGCTCTTCATTTTGTGGTGATTTTTCTTGGGTTTATGTGACGAGGGAGGTTTACCAGTGCTCGATGATGTCATTAGTGACGTCAACTTTTTCAAATCTGTTGTTGATGACGTAGAACTTGTTGACGTAACAACACGCTCTACTGCCTTATCGAACACGCTACGGTTGTACGTAGAAGCAGGGTACACCTCGGTGTGTGTTATGACAGTTTCTAGAAAGTAAATTGTCTAGGTTAATATTCCACAATCTGAGCGGTTTTTTAAATTTTAAAGTCCCCGAATTGGCCGTCGTCGCAAACATGCTTTTACATTCTACAATAGGATTTTGTGACACGGGTAACTAGAAATAGATTCGAGGCTGAGTTTCATTCTTGCGGTTTTCGGATCGGAACCCCAATTCCAAATGTAAAAAAAATCATTTTTCTGGCTCATACATGGCAATCTTTGTGGCTTTAAACGCTTTATAAACACTCAATACTTCTGGAACCCGCTAGCTGGTACCCGCCGGGGCTCTCGAACTTTTCGCTCGCGGCACACTAAGCAATAAAAAACAATTTGCGGCACACTTGGAAAAAATAAAGTTAGCTTTAAGCAAATCATTCTGCAAATGTCAATGCGATTTTTTGCTTTTAATTACAGTCATAGCAGAAAATCTGAGTACCCAGAGCCATGTGGAGAAGCAGATAGCCAAACTCGCCTCGTTTTCTATTAGCCTAACTAAGCGCGAAAGTCAACATGGTGGAAGGTGCACGGCTTGTTTACAAATACATTGTGACATAATTGTGGAATTATAACGTGACAATCACCCTTATTACAATGATAAAGCAAATGCAATGATATTACCAGTCTAATATTAGATACTCAAGTCTTACAAGCTTGCCCATTACATATATGCCAATGTGTAGCACGAATGGCTTTTTTTCTAAAATTCCAAAAAGCTCCGCGACACACCTGAGAATCTCTTGCGGCACACAGTTTGAGAAACTAACTAACTTGGCAATTAGAAATTTCAAAACCCCCTTTTGAAAATTCCTCACCTGTCTTCCCTTTACACATGACCTTTCCCACCGGAACTTCCTCGATTCTCCAATGTTGGTTGACATTGATTCCATGGTTGTTCCGGTTCACGTAATTACTTGCTCTGCATTGATACATCCCTTCGTCACCTGAGTCTGCGTTGCGAATTATAAGAGTACTACGGACCACGTAGAGCTCCTGAAATAGAAAATAGTTTGAGTGGGGCAAATGTTGGAGTAAATGTCAAGAGAAACAGCTCTAGAGTCGGATGAAATTAACTCAGACCGGGGGTGTGTAACAGGCGGCCGCGGAAGATAACCCGGCCGCCAAGCCATTTAGTGTGATCCTTGTCAACACTCAGATTTTTCTTTGTCTAGCATAGGGGTGTGCAACCTTTTTTGCAGGCGGGCCAAATATCATTACCCGGTTGAAACCGCGGGTCGCACCTACATTTAACCCAGGCTTTCTATTAGTTGCAGGCACAAAATGGTGTCTTTTTGATATTAATCTCATGTCATCATCAGGGGTCTGTAATTCAAATATATTGTCACCGACTACTTTCATCCAACTTTGCTTAAATGGAAGTGCTAGCAAATCGATATGACGCCCATTTTAGAAAAAAATATGTTACCGAAATATGCCATATTTGGAGCCATGACTTTTTTCAAATGTGGAAAGTTATCTTGGTGAAGATGTTTTCAGTAAAATACGCCAAGATTCGTTTCCAAATAATTTGCTTGTCAAATTCTATTTTAGGTTAGATTTATACAAAATCAACTAATAAGCTGGAACCAGAATTTAGCTTTTAAATCTTTTAATATTAATTTTTTTAACTGCTCTCCAGTTGCCTTCGCGGGCCGCACAATTTTCCCCTGCGGGACGCATTTGTCCCGCGGGCCGCACTTTGCACACCCCTGGTCTAGCACATAATCAAATACATAATGTTTATTGGCTTTGTCGCTGCGTTAAATCTTTCGTCCTTTTGCTATGTGTCTTTATTCCTACAAGGCTAAACAATAGCCTCATTCTTTTGACTCTCAGGCATGGATAAACTAAATTTGTTTGTGGGCCGGCTGGATGGCTGAAGTTTGTTATATGGCCCACCGACAAAAATGTTGCATAGTCCTAACTTGAATCGTTCACTGAATCCAACTCATTGTCGATGAATCTTTTTTGGCAAAAACTTTGGTATTTGCATGCATTTTCCAATTGAATCGAATATTTTGAGATCAATTCTCTTCATTTAAAAGTCTGAAATTACCTCAGTTTTAATCTTTATTCTCCCATCCCTGCCAGAATGTCTTACAACCACCCTGCTGGCTTCTTCATCCACGTTTGTTTCTTGATTGTAGTAACGCCACTGTATTTCCGGTGACGGTGACCCCTGGGATGAAAAAATATAAACTATAAATAATTTTATTGGACCTCCAGAAGTATGCGCACCAAGATGGCGCACAACCTGAACATAATATGTGTGTACCGGTTAGGATTCAGGCTGTGCGACATCTTGGTTGCATACTTCTGGAGCACCATTTTATTTGCATGCTGGAAAATAAATGTATTTCAGCATTGTGTGTATTATTTATCTATATCTAAGCTTTTCAAGCCGCGTTTCACGCCTTCCTAATTAATTTCACTGACATGAACACGGGGGCTAGGTATTTCAAATCGAATAGTAAATTATTCGAATCAGTTCAGACGATATAATTCTGAATCGTCGCCATCTTGTATCGAGGTGAATCCCTCAATCTTTTTGTGAAGCCATATTTTTAAAAGGCAATTATGACATATGACTCTTATTTTCCTAGTGAGTTATTGATGAAACTTGTTTTTTATTGTGTGTGACAACCCATAGAACTGTCTGAGTGATAAGATCAATGTTTTTATGTAAATTATGTATCTGGAGGACCCGTTACAATAAAAAAAAATCGGTACTCCTGAAGTATGCCTACCAAGATGTCGCATAACCTGAACCCTAACCTGGTACACAACCCGAGTTCAGGTTGTGCACCATCTTAGTACGTATACTTCAGGAGGTCCAAAAAATCACATACACTCAGACATCTTTCAAGATTCGATTCGAATAAAATAGCCCATTCGATCCTGAAATTATCAGGTATTCGAAAATGCCAAGCTCTACCACTTAAGCATCGATTTAATTAAACCAGCCCACAATATTTAAGACAATCAATAAGTGATAGCACGGGATAGAAGAAAATAAAAAGTCAGCGAATTTTCAGCCACATGTTAAATGATGTGTAACGAATGTCATATCATGGAGATACCGAATATCCTATCGAGGTGTGCCCAGGATTATAAAACTAGGAAAAATTGAGGATAAAATATCGGGTCCCATATGACCCATTGACGTCATCGTTACCTCGGCAACGCATGTTAATTTGATATCTTCACCACATTTCACTCCTGCTACGTCATCTGGTCGGTCCATGATTCTTGCGTCATACTGACGTACTGAAAAATAAAATGTTGATGGCATCATTAAAATAAATGTCGTCAAACTTGTTATTTTCTTATTGAACAATGAAGAATTTTTTAAATATTAGGATTCGAAACTTTTAATCGATTACAGCTAAATTAGGAAATCAGAATTGAATAAATATACGTTATGGCGTCCCAGAAGTATGTGCACCAATATGGAGGTAACTAATTTTGTTCGCCTACTTTACATCAAGTTGTGTAAAGGGACTGAAGCCTATGGGCAGGGGGTATATTTCCTTGGCTAACACAGACAGTCCCCAAACTCGTAATAGAACTAAAGTAAGGAAAATCGGAATGAAATTGTGGCCTAGCCCGACATCGATACATATGATACAGGAGGACCTACGGTATATCATCAATTGTACTATTCTATTTAGATTGGATAGGCAGCGCTGTTTGCGCGCTATCTGACAGTAAAACGACAATGCTTGAAGAAAACTCTTTCAAAAGCTAGAGAGGAATGCACAAATATATTGATACAAAGACAAATTGCCGTCAAATGTCAAAAGAATTGTTTTGAATGTATGTACTGAATGTCATATCAAGGTAAAAAATTCGGCTGGAAATATTTTGTCCCGTTGGGATAAAAAAGAAGAAAGTGGTAGGTGTTCAGACAACTTCTTCTATGTTTGAGAGTTGACTATTTAAAAGTGGCAGTTCAATAACAACAAAAAACTTGATTTAAATAAAAACTTCTTCCATTTATTGGCCATCAGTTGGGAAGAAACGCGCAAAAACAGCAATCTCTAACAACTGTATTCATAAAAATAAACCGTAGGCCTAGTTCGAGTCCATTGTACTGGGAATTTGAAAACGACAGACCAACAAGGGCAAAATACGACTTCTTCCATTTATTGGTCATCAGGGACAAAAAGTAGAACCCGCAATAACAGCAACATTACCAACAACTGTATTTAGCAAAATTACCCGTTGGCCTACTTCGAGTTCATAGTAGCCTTCTATTTCTGGAGGAAACGCATATTTTAGATCCGAAACGGGCCGACATCATTAAATTTTCAACGCGGTCATGTTTGTACCGAATGTCATATTAAAGTGCGCCCGTGAATTATAAAACACGAACAGCACAATTTGGAGTGAAGTATCAGGTTTAGGTTCCGAAGGAATCCAAAAAAATTAGGATTCTTAATTATTCTTTGGGTACTGTAAATTTGAAAGCGACATTCCATCGCGAAGTTTGATTCAGAAAACGACTTCTTTCATTTATTAGTCATCAGAAAAAAAGGAACGAGATTTTTCAAATCGACAAAAAGGAAAACCCCACAAAAACAGCACGGTTACCAGCAACAACGATTTAAAAAAAACGATCAATAGGACAAATTCGTGTTCATAAAAAAACACAGAGGAAACGAAAAACGCATATTTCGGGTCGTGAACGGGCAGACTTCATTAAATTTTCAACAGGTTATACGATATGGTGCAATTGTGTTCCGACCTTATTGATTATATGATTGAAATTATCCTCAAATTACCTCAGTGAATAAAACTAAAAGGGAGAATTTGGTATTTTAGTTACATATTCAGGAGAGCATGAGCCTTTGCTACAGAGCTGCAGAGAGTCCATAAAGTCCCTTTACAATTTCAATTTTGTTATGAAGTCAGTTTCCAGGTTTGTTGTTTTTTAATCAGTAATTGTTCAAGTATTAGTATTTTTACATCATTTAATACATTTGTGAGAAGTAAAACAATATATGGTATCGATAAATTCTCTTTGCAATTTTAAAAATTTCTTAGGACTTCATGGACACTTTGTACTTTCAAACGCACGATGTATTGAGAAAAATTCAAATTTATCAACAAATTACAATAACACGTTTTATAATACATTTGATCCAGGGTTTTCAAACTGCATCAATCTATACGATTGGATGAGCTTCTTTTTAAACACATAACTAATCATGACGTTGCTGATTGTCTCAAACGATTTTCATTTCAAGAATGTGGCTATTCGTCAATTTAAAGAATACATATTATGACAAAAAAAATTGTAAACATAGTCGAAATTTATTGGGATGATTCGCTCCTATCCTCACAATGAAGATACACTAGTGATAGGCGCGGTGAGGTGTCGAATACGAGTCAACAATAACCGGATAAGGCATTAGAACCCGATATCCGGTGACTTGGCCATCACGCCATTTTTTACGCAGCTGTCAGTAGCAAATTGGATTATGTTTATTCCTTTGTATACCTCAATGCCAAATAGCTCTCTGGTCAATAGTGGCTAACTGTCCAATCATAATGCGCTACGTGTAATAGCCATGTGATAGCTGATCAATCATGAATCATGACGTGTCACATCGTGATTCGTTTAATTCTCATTTGGAATACAATAGTCAATGACTTTTTGAGACGGCCAATCACGATGCATTACGTGTCACAACGTGATACGTCTATCTAATCGTTCAGATAGCCAATGACTTCCCAGAATGGATGACCAATCATGATACATCACGTGTATTAATGTGATTCGTCTAATTGTCCAGTTGGAAGACGACATTAAACGAATCTTTGAGAAGGGTGTCCAGTCATGACACAGTACGTGTAACAATATGATTCGTCTAATTGTCCAAATTTGAAGACAGCAAAAACGAATCCTTGGGAAGGGTGGCCTATCATGACACAATACGTGTAACAATATGATTGGTCTAATTGTCCATTTAGAAGACGACAATAAACGAATTTCCGGAAAAGGGTGGGCCATTTATAACACAGTACGTGTAATATACTGTTTCGTCTAATTGTTCATTTGGCGTCCGCAGATATTTTTAAAAGCTTCAGCGCCGACCAGATAACAATAGTTTTACCCTTGAGAATAAAATACAATGATATCATTGTCCTTTGAGACTTAATGGCGCCTGCGACCATGAGTTTGAGGCCGTGTGGAATGCTACAAAGTTTGACACGGATGTCAGCAAAGATAAATCCTATTTTGAAAATTGGTATTTTAACTTCATGAATGGTTAATTTTCATCTAAAACACGTAATTAAACGTTGACTGAATTTCCCAAAATATTAAAAAATACGAAATTTTCCGCGGACATCAACAAACAATATTTCGGTCAAAATTATCCGTGCCACATAGTTTGACACGGATCTCAAAAAAGTTGAATTTACATTTAGGCATTTCTGGGGCAAATTGCATCAGTTGTTGCAACTTATGAATAAAAATAATTTTAATAACATCAGAAATTCGGATACATATTTCTAGTTTTCGATACTTGGGACTTACTCAGATGAGTGGTTAATTTTGGTTCGGGCTTTTTTTATCATTTCCCAAATAAAACCACGGACACTCAATAAAAATATCATCTCTAAGTAAAATTAAAGCACTCACTCAGACGTGAAAATCACTCATCTCTGAGAAAAGTTACGACACTCAGCCAGAAGTAAAAGAGACTCATCACTGAGTAAAGTTACCTGCAACCACTAGAAAGCCAATAGCTATGAGCACTCATTTATGAGTCAAAGAGGCTCATTTCCCTGAATTAATTTTTTTAAGATTATGATTTACATATTTATCCCGGGGGAGAGGAATGCCGATAAAACGGCTTAACCATATGGTAAACCACGGCCTCTCGTCCGGTTACCATTTCATGTCGGGTATGGGATTAGTTCGTTTTTAATATAAATTGGATTCATGTATATACATCTATCACCAGATCGTCCGCTGTTGCGCATACCCATGCTTCAGTAATGCGATTATCACTACAGGGTTATTAACATCAGAAATTCCGATACATATTTCCAGAACAATAACAGGCCCCAGGGGGCTGATGTCATGATAGAACGGCGCCAACAGAACACACATGAATAATAGAAGGATGTGAGACATTGGCGTGACTAAGTAGAAACAACTGGCGACGAGATGATCTCTGAGAAAGGCTCTGCGGAAGGTCGGTTGCTAAATACTCGTAATTCTTCCGGTTAATTTATCAACAACCGTACTGTACAGGGGTGTCCGTAAAGTCCGTAAATTTTTTTAAAATTGCAAAAAAATTAATCGATGCCACATACTGTTTTGGTTCTCAGAGATGTATTAAATGAAGTAAAAATACTTGAACAATTACTGATTAAAAAACAACAAAACTTGTTACGATATATTGAGATCTGACTTTATAACAAAATTGAAATTGTGAAGGGACTATATGGACACGCCACATATTGTATATTTCCTTCGCAGTATAGCCTTGGACAGTTTATGTGATATCAATGTATTTACATTTTATTGCATTATCATGAAATATCCATATTCACACTAATAATTGTTCTTAATATCTTCTCTAGGAATGGACGAGATAGATTTGTTTATTTTATTCATTTCTGCCATTATATGCTCGACTTGTCACAACTGTAAATACTGATCATTCAGCCGTATTATTCTGTCATTGGTGATAAAAAGAGCTCTGTTTGTTGTTACGCTTTATCTTTCATTACTTCTAGTAGAAAGCTCCTAAGGTTTTAAGTGCCCGTAATCTTTCCAATTTGCAAGTTTTTATTTGGGGCTCCCGAAGTATGCGAACCAAGATGGCGGACATCGGAATGTAATATGTGTACTAGGTTAGGGTTAGGCCATAATTTTAGGTATAAATACTACGGGAGACTCTTGGCTAGTCTTCGAACTGATAATAGGACTAAAATAAGTTAAATTGGAAAAAAATTATCGCCTAACCCTAACCTGTTACCCATGTTACGTTCCGATGTCCGTCATCTTGGTTCGCATACTTCGGGAGCACCTTTCATTTTCTATTACTTCTCTGAATACAGATCTACACAAGCGGCCAAAGTTAACAGCTACTACCACAGTGGGTTCCTAACTTTGCCTCCGTTAGCCTATTTTGAAATACGCGTAATAACTCCGTTTTCGCATGTTGTTCAATCATTAGTGGATAATTAGCTAGTGATATTTGCAACTTTCAACTATGTTTTAGAGCAGTTTATAATATTTGGTAAAATACGTATTGCAATACTTATAAATGAGTCAATATCAACAATACTACATACTTGAGTATTAAAATAATATTTCGTCCTTCAGAACAGAAGAACTCCCCACTGGAGAGTAAATACTCTTTAAGTTTTTGATAGTTTTTCGCGGATTTGCAAGATTTTTCATGTTTTTGCAAGGTTTTTGATGGGTTTTTGGTGTTTTTTCATACGGTTTTTGGTGTTTTTTTGACGGTTTTTGGCGTTTTTTTTGGGCCAGGTTTCGATTGGAAAACGTTGTACAAACATTCCTAATTAATAACTTTTTCTCGAATTTGTGATTTGGATTATTTAAGTTCAAGTCCTCAGTTTAATATTTCCTATCATTTTATTATTTACATTGACGTCACCCAGAGACGAACTCGCTATCTCTTGGCAACTTGACAAAGCTATGGCATTTTATGAATGAATATAAAACTAATTAACAATAACAATCTTCATAACTGAAATTAATCAGCTGAGACGCATAAAGAATTTGAACACCAATGCGTACGACCGTTGTTGCGAAATGGTTGACAGTTGTTGAATTGAAATACTTGTACATTATTATTTAAGTAAAGAGGCGAGTTCTAAACGTTTTCAGTTTAAAATTATGTTATTGAAACATTTTTAAATGATAAATTTGCGCGCTTGTCTCGCCCAGATCTAAACGGCGACCATTGTACAAGCAATGGCTGCCATATGCCAATATTTAATATTAAAGAACGTTTTATAATATATAAATCCCGCAGAGTAGACCGTATCAATTTAAGACGCGAACCACTATAACATAAAGGCCGCAAACCATTCTTATATAATAACTAGGCTTCACATGTTCAGATGACTTTACAATATTGGTTATAGATTGCTAAGCGAAAAACTCGTCCTAATATAGTTAGAAATGTAGTCCTGTTATGAGAAAGCCGTCAGTAGAATAATATGAACACCATCGGTGTATCTACGTAAAACGGCGGCAATGGATCTCTTGATCGTTGGTTGAAAATTATTAGCGGCTGCTGTTGAATTGAGATACTTGTGCGTTACTATTTAAAGTAAAAATACTTGTTTCAATCGTTTTTTAAAGATTAAAAGTCTTGGCTGTCATATTTGAATTTTTAAAAAACGTTTTCATAACACATAAATCCCGCAGAGCAGGCCGCATCAAACTTTAATTAAACAACGAAGCACAGTTTCCTTGCATATTAGGCGAGGAAAAAAGGGGGTTCCAAAATATAGGCAAAGAGGGGGGGGGGGGTAATCAAAGATTGGCACTACTGTGTTATAATTTACCAGCCTGTGATTGACATTTAAACGACAGGATCCATCATATATGATTAATTTGCCGTAGAGGCTTTCCTTTACCAAAGGAATTAACAAGAAAAATTTTCCCATTTAAAAATCATATTTATAACATTTACTTACAGATTCGATGTCCTTTGGCTTCACATCCTTGTGAAATCAATAAACAGATCAAAGCCGTCAGTAGAATAAATCCCTTTAGCAAACGAATCATTTTCTTTCTAATTAGTATAGTATGCTTACTCAAACCTGAAAATACAATTGGGCAACATGTTAAATTTGGATCTTTAGCAAAACAACTAACATTCCCTCAAAATACGGTACTCCCGCAGTATGTGTACCAGGTTAGGCTAGGGCGTAATTTTATTTCGATTTTCTTTATTTTAGTTTTATTACAAGTTCGGGGACTGTCTGTGTTAGACAAGTGAATATACCCCCTGCCCATAAGTTTCAGTTATTTTACACAACTTGATGTAAAGTAGGCGAACAAAATTAGTTACCTCCACATTGGTACACATACTTTTGGAGCGCCCTAAATACATGTCTGTGGACTATGTACAAGGTGTCCATAAGGCATATGGGTTCCCACCGACTGCGGAAGACAACGACAAATATCACTCAACTATGGGTTTTGGTAAATACTTGAAAGATGCAGTTGAATGGAATCTCAACAGTGTCATAGCCAACAGAGGTGGAATGCGAGTCGTTTGAATTGTAGGAAAAGCATTATTCTGTGTCATACCTAGCAATTTTTCTTAGCCTGAAACGCTTCTTAGAATCCTAAAGACCCGGAACCGTGAGATGTTATCGTCTAACTTGCAATTAGAAATCTCAGACCCCCCCCCCCCCCCTTTGAAATTCTTGGATACGCCCCTGGACCCACCCCTTTCATTTCATTCATTGTGTGATAAATTGGCATAGATCCCAACATTCGATGACTTTTTGTGTCAGTGAGCATTGTTCAGAGTTCAGAGCCTCGTAAAAATTTGAAAACCAATTACAATGAATCCTAAAACACAAAAGAGCAATGATTACAAATATTCACACGTCGGCCAAATGCCAAAAAAGTGTTTCCACATTTTAAAAGAAAATAACAACTTTTTATGACCGTGGACCGCAGAACACCCTTAGAAAAATAGAAGTAATAGCCGTCCGACGAGTTCTTCGTGTTCTCTGCTAAACTGGCTTATATTTACAAAAATTATCTTATTGGTAAATCTTAAAGTAAAGTAAAAAGTTGAATTTTTCTGAGGTCAAGGGTCGGGGAAACGTCCCCTACATCGCCTGTAAATATTCCACTTTACAAAATATTGCAACATACTAGGAATGTCCAAATCTAAACAGATCTCGAAGCGACGACATTTAATCCTGACACGAAATACTGCGGACAGATACAGATTTATCCATCTCTAGGGAATGGATTCGAAAAAAAGAAACAGCGATGGAATGTGAAGATTAATTTTATCAAAAAGTCGGTGGCATAATACGAATATATAGAAATTTTAGGATCTCCCGTAGTGTATGTACCAGGTTAGGGTTAGGCCATAATTTTATTCCGATTTTCTATATTTTAGCTCTATTGCGAGTTCTGGGACTGTCTGTGTTAGCCAATCAAATACCCCCGACCATAGGCTTCAGTCCCTTTACACAACTTGATGTAAAATAGACGAACAAAATTAGTTACCTCCATATTGGTACACACACTTCTGGGGCATCCACTCATATCTAAACTCAATTTATTACAACTGGGGTTAAAAGAATTCGAATCCTAATGTTAAACACAGTTAAACGCCCACTTTTAGACGGTTTTGATACTGCTTAATTCAAACGAATAAAAATTTATTATTTTTTCAGATCCTTCTTAGCTTTTATAGCAGATTTTTTTTAAATTGTTTCTCGCTCAAATTAGGTCATCGCGAAAATAAATATGGAAAAAAAGCACAACTTGTCGAAAAATTGGTAACATCGTTGGAACATATGTACATTTCAAAGCGACTATATAAACGTTTTGTTATTGTTTGTAATTTGCTGTTTGTTTGCGGTACTCGATTATATAGAAGTTTAATATTTTGCTTCTCGTTTGTTTAATGTTGTTTTGTTTGCGGCACTTCAATATTTGGGTCACACCATATAAGGCAAATGACGTATTGTGCTACTTTTTCCATACTTAATCTCCAATTGACGTATTATCAGCATGAAAGAGGTTTCTGAATTGCAACTGGTACTCCCGTAGTGTGTGTACCAGGTTAGGGTTAGGCCATAAATTTGTTCCGATTTTCCTTATTCTAGTGAATCTATTCCCTGCCCATAAGTTTCAGTCCATTAACACAACTTGATGTAAAGTAGGCGAACAAAATTAGTTACCTCCATATTGGTACACATTTTTCTGAAGCGCATGATACATTTTAAAAACTGTAACTTTCTCTTTTTATGTTAAGCACATGGCGCGACTCAAAATATTGAAGTACGTATGATCCAAACGCAACCAAAATTTTATTTATTGGGAGGTCTTGCATAACACTTCCACAAATACAAAAAGAGAAAGACAAAGTGACTAGGTACAAGCCATATTAGTCAACAATACAGGGTGTCTATAAAGTCCCTTCACAATTTTCAATTTTGTTATGAAGTCAGTTCCCAATATATCTTAACTAGGTTTGTGTTTTTCAATAGGTGAATATTTGAGTATTTTTACTTTATTTAATACATCTGTGAGCGCCAAAACAATATATGGTATCGATAAATTCCCTTAATTAAAAAAAATTAATTCACGCGCACCGTCATTTACCTCATATGGCGTGATCTAAAAAGTCAATGAGCGTTTAAAACGCAAAATACATTTTAATCTAATTTCTTTTGAACATAAATCGAACTGGGGACTTTCCTTTATCGTTCTGGCCTATTTTTCGTCGACGATTACGCCATTTGAACATTTTTTGTTTGCCTGTGAAAATTAAAATTGTGCGGAATGACATTCTTTCGAATTGAAATATTTTTCATTATTTTCAAATTCAAAAATCGTTATATTTTATAAGTACCGGTTAAAACGTCGAAACAAAACATCTTAATCTGTTTTATTTTGAATGTAAATCGAACTGGGGCTTTCCTTTACCGTATTGGCCCATTTTTTTTCGTCGACGATGACGCCATTTGAGTATTTTTTGTCTGGCTGTAAGATTTAAATTTCGGAATGATAATTTTTAAATGGAATATATTGTAAATTATTACTAAACTCAGAAAGTTATTATATTAAATATAACCAAATTTAAAATGAATCTGTATATTCGATTTGTTCTGGATATCCTGTTTATAGACCAATCACAAATATAAAATAATTTTTACACGTCTTTCGTTTAAAACAAGGCTGTATGTAACCAGTACCTCCTATGCAATGGGCTACCTAATTTATTAGAGATCGAAATCTTTACAGTTCGGCATCGCCTATAACCAAATTGTTACACCTTGGCTGTGTTACAAAAAGCATTGCGTTTCACTATTTCACATTTTGCTCTTTCCGTCTATAGCAGGGTGGGCAAGAATTTTGACCAAAGGGCCAAAAAATTTGCCCACCCGTACTGGCGGGCCATGTGAGTGTGACGTAAAACGTTACATTTTATGAACAGTATTTACAGTGTTACAAAAGCAAATGTGGAAAACATTGTGCTTCGTGCCAAAACTAAACATAATAGCCATCTCAACAGATTCCTTGAGCTAATTTAGCTAAAACATCGAAACTTGATTTCAGTTCGCTCTTGTCTGGTCTATAGTGAGCTCTATTACTGTAAAATATTGCTGATACGCAAAATAGATTTTTTTTATTTCTAAGATAATTTTATCGAAGCTACGCTACACCCACTCAGGAATTAGAAAGACTCATCACTGAGCAAAGTTACCGGTTGCCACTAGAATGTGATACTTGCTGAATGCGAGGGCTATGCGAGCGCGTGTTTCACCAACAAGTTATTTCGAGTCATATTACGTCATCGAAGATATGACGTCAGACACAAGCTTCCGACTATTCAACACAAACACTAACAATATGCAAATAAAGTTTTACTCAAAGGCTCATTTACAGTGGAATTTGCTACATACGCCGTCTACATAACGCTAAGCAAAGCAGTATCATGTGAACACGTAGAAAAATCCAAATTTTCGTCAACTAGAAAATTTATGTAATTTAAGACACCAGTAAACATAACACTGCTGACAAGCGAGAGTTATCATAGTTGTTATTTCAGTAACAAAGAAAATACAGGTCAAGCAAATTTTGATCTGTTCTACACAAGGAAGCCCTCAGAACTCCTATAACCCCACGTCTTCCGGTTTCCGGTCGGACCTTGCTAGCTGTTGCGGTCTAACTTGGCAACAGTGGCGTATCTCGGTAAAATGGCGCCCATGGAAATTCGCATCTTTGATCATTGACTAACAATTTTTAACGATTGTTATTGAATTGAGATACTTGTACGTTACTATTTACGTAAAAATACAAGTTTCAATTATTTCCAATTTGAAATTATTTTATTGAAACATTGTACAATTGAAATATTTCGCCGTTTTTGCAACCCTGTTCAAACGACCCATGGCACGAGTCATGGCTGCCACACCCCATTTACGCACTGTTTGGCAATTTCAGAATCCCCCTTTTGAAAAGTTCTGGCTACGCCACTGCTCCAAACAGTGGCTTCTTCTGGAAGATTTTTAGTCGCGCACAGTACTTTCGGGTCCCCTGTGCGGCCAATCATCGTTTAATAAAAAAAAAAATCGCAATTAGACGTCTTCTCGCCTTCATTCCGAACAAGTACTTACAACGAAAGCTACGTATATCAACCTATGGCGTCGTGATAACTCGGCGCATGTTTGAATACACAGTCGCAAACAGCTAGTCTTGCAATAAGAATCAAATACATAAAATATTTCTACTGAAAAACTATTACATGTCATACTTTAAACACTGGCCTGTTCAAGAGAGATTTTTGAACGCTCTGGAAGTATTCGTCCCACGATGACGCATAACCTGAACAACCCAACCGGGTACACATACTATGTTCAGGTTGAGTGCCATCTTGATACGAATACTTCGGGAGCACCAATTTTTGGGCGTGGGCTGCACCTCCCAAACCCTGCTCAGCCCAAAAGAAGAATGTGGCGTATTTCAATTTCAATCCAAACGAGTCTTTAAGTCAAGATTATACTGAACCATATATCTAAATTGCGATAATATCTACGCATGCAACATAGCGCCTTGAATTTTCTGT